GACCTGAGATAAGAATCTTCTTCATCTTCCTTTCCATCCTCTTGCCAAACTTATTGATTTTATTTAATTCCCTTGGGGGCCCCCCCCCCCCCCCAAAAACAAAAAAAAAAAAAAAAAAAAAAAAAAAAAAAAAAAAAAAAAAAAAAACTTCTCGTGGAAGAAATCTCCGCATCTGAAGGCCTGGAGTTGGGTTACGCGGATCTGAGCGAGGAGGAAAAAAAAAGAAATGTGTGGCGGTGCGGAGCACAGGGAAAGACGAGGAGACATCGCGACCGGGTCGCAATTTGGGGAATGATAAGTACAACCTCTTTTTTCCATTTTCGTATGCGGTGTGATGAAGCACAGCAACCGCAACTGTGACGGTGGTTGCGCGAATGCAATGCCAGATGATGTAGGCTCGCAGATGTAGGGGGCTTAAGATCTCGGGGCCACATGGCGGCAAGGCTTGGATGTGACAGTGACGACCGTTGAAGTTGACGGTGGAAGGCCAAGGAACGATTCACATAATCATGTCGACATTATCATTTATTACCTATTTATACCTTCATATCCTAGACCATCCCCCCGAAGACGCCGCCAAGCTTATCTGAAAAACAATACAGGGTCTCTGTTTAACCACCCACCTCCACATGTTCTGTCTAGCCATGTTATGGGTGGATGAGAAACAAAGTTACATGGCTATACAACAAATATAAGGACGAAGGAATATTGCCCCTGATAGCCCCAACCAATATTGACAAAAGGAAACCTTGTTTTCTGTTTTCCTCCGAGTCACACTGAACGCCCAATCCAAGTACAGGTTATGTACCTCTCCAACATCAACCGATATATTATATTAATCTCATCATCTTTATCGTCACCGTCGCGGTCGTGGTCGTCATCATCGACATCGGTATCCATCGCCCTTAGGCTTCCAACATGTCTTCGTCTCGAATGCTCCTCGCCATAGCGGTTCTAGGGTCGGCCGGGATGTCGGACCAGCCTCCGACGTCACGAAGCATCTCCGCATCGTGATGCTCCTGGGCCGAGGGGACGACGCACCACGACATGTTAGTCGCCATCGAGCTGCGGCTCTTCGGAGCTTTGGTTATCAAGTGGCTGGTGCTCCAGTAGTCGGCCGGGTCGGCCTGTCCAACGCGTCCAACTCGGGGCATCCAGCCGTAGATGTTCCCGTCAAAGGACTGAGCGTGGTTGGTGTAGTCGAGTGCGGCGACGGCTGCCACGGTCAAGGGTTGGGCGCTATCGGCAGCGGCATAGTTGCGGTTCTTGTAGTAGTCCAAGTCGGGCCGATACCCAAATGGATCACCACGCTTTAGGGTCTCGTTCGTGTTGGCGGATGACGGTGCATACTGGACGAAGGTATAGTTTTCGACGCTGTCAGTCGACACATGCTCGGTGCTATCGCCAGCTCCACGGTCTTTTTTAATCATTGGGCATCGCCTGGGTTGGGTGGCGGAACCGACGGGCTGTGTGGAGGAAAAGTTTTTGTTATTGAGGTGCGGGGGACGTTCTTCGGTGAACTTGTCGATGTAAAAGTAGTCATACCCCTCTCTGCCAACACAGTCCCAGTCCGGTTCGGAAATGCTTTCGGCGAGGGCGGTGTTATGAGAGCTTGACGTTCGAGACATTATTATGGAGAGAATAGTAAGGTTAAGTAATAAGGATGGTTAAATAAAGGAAGGGTAGTTGCCGTTAAGTTAAGACGGGAAAGAATAGCTGGGGTGCTGGTTGCGTTAGTACTCGACAACGCCTGGTTCGGGATGGACGAACTTACTCGTGTGTTACTAGAGCTTCGGATGCTGGCATACGCTTAGACCAGACAAGCGTTACGACTAGGTAGGTGATATGTTCAAAATACCGCCCTGATCGAAATAGATATAATGTACGTAGGTACCTAGCCTGATGTTGCTTACATAGGTTGGGTAGGTATGTATATAGAATATGAATAGTAGGTATTGGCCGAAGAATAATATAGCAAGTAGCTATATGCGCTCGCCACCGCCTTCGTTATGCCCTTTGTGTTCTCTTTAAATATACTTATGTCGAAAGGTAGAGAGAAGGGAATAGGGAGGGAATGGATTAAAGTCGTGGGGCTTGTAGGGTTTTATATTTATTTGATAGGTAGGTTAGGTTAGGTTAGGAGAGATACTGAATAGATCCAAGCTTAATGACGATAGATCAAGTATTTGGGCCCTCTGGTCCCCCTCTCAGCCCGCTGTCCTGGCCCCTGGGGCGTGGGAGAGGCATAACACATCCACCAAGAACAGATATTGCTGCAGTGAATGCAACTCGGTAATTAATATGTACATGCTGAGTGCATGCTGGTGACTAGTGGGGAGGGTGTTGTAAGGTATTCCCCATCGTTAAAACTACCCAAGTAATAGCTTAATCATGGGCTGTGTACCTAGGTAATATGCATGGTGCTGCGCTTGCGCTTGGTAACTCATGAAGCTTCTTGTAAGCAACTGCAGGGTTCCCGGCAGAAAAGACACCTAGGTGTCTGTATGCAAAAGGTCAGGATGGAAAGGGAAACCTTGTGTCGTATCCGCCTTTGCATATATCCACGACCTGGGGCTGCATTGTACTTACTACAGATGTATACCAATGCATATATTTGTTACATACAGATACTGTAGCTATGTATATACGTATTTGCGAATGGAACAAGTCGAGACGAGGGAATCAGACGGAACGGTGAATGGTACCTATCAAAGATCTAGTGTAGGCCTTCCGCCTCACTATTTCTTAGGCTGTCGTGTAGTTTGCATCCGGTATGTAGGTATCCATGGATCCATTGGAGACTATTTCATTCTCTGCATCGCTGGTCTGATCAGATGAGTATGTAGAGTTTTTTGAGTTTTTTTCGTCTTGATATGGCCAATGGCCAATAGTCAAACCAGCAGGCAAGGTAGGTTTTTGTTTGACCAAGTTGCCCAGCTCGAAACAAGAGATCTACCTACCCAGGCAGTACCTGAGACATACATGTATAGGTACCTACTAATACTACTATGTACCATATAGGCGGTGCGACCAGAGGTCAGGTCGAGAGACAGGGCCCTTAGCAGACCAGGTAAGGCAGCTTTACCTGTACCTGGGGGTCTTGTGATTCTTATGGTCGGACTCGCCAAAAAGACAAGGGTACACTACGAAACATCAAGCTTGAGTAAAGAATAGTTAGGTATATTGAATTAGAGAAGACAGTCTCCAAAGGGTGGGACGTGGGGAAAGAATCGACGAATTCAATTCTGCCGTAACGCAGTACCTTTGATGTTGATGTGACTGGAACTGGGTCTGCAATGCATAAAGAGATAGAAAAAAATAATATATAAGGTATATCTCCTATGACCAAAGCAGTTCATATCGCTTTGCATAGAGATACAGGTAGGTACATCAGACACATACATGCTGCCTTAGATTCCTACCTCCTAGGTATGCAGCATGCAGTATGCTATGCGGTGCTAATTGAATGTAGCATGAGCGTGGGATATTCAGGCAGCATGTACTACCTAGGAGGTAGTTAGGTAGGTTGGTTGGTATGCAATGTTGCTGCTGTAAGATAAGTCTTTAAAGATGCGATAAAACTTATGTCAGGAACAAGATACCTAGAGTCCATTCTCACAATAGAATCAAGTACTTACGAGTGATAGTACCTAACCTGAAGGAGGTACGCATGCAGGCTGGGCCACACACAAATCAAGGGGAGGTGAAGATGCCATCCATTCATTTCGTGCTTCAAGGCGCTGCCGAATAAGAACCGTAGTACTGAAATCTTCAACACAGGCACGTCAACGGCCAACCTTAAGATAGGTACGCCAGGTTTTTAGCCACGCAAGGGCGCTGGTATCTGCAGTTGGCGGTGCCTCTTGGTGTGCATATGTTTCAAAGATGATGTAGGGAAATAAGAGGCCGGCAGAGCGAAAGGTTCAAGTTGGTATGTCTCACTGACTGGCATAAGGAGAAACACTACAAGATCCCCGACTAACAAGAGAGTATAACTCCCATCAATGGCCCGGAACAGCATCCATCTCGCTACCACACCCCCGTACCGTTACCTACCTACACAGCTACCTAACCTAATGTAAGACCTGCTCATTCGCCTTATTTTTTCACATGCATGTAATATTTTACGGTCATTTTTTTCTTCTCTCCTCGACCCGTTTCGTTTTAGCCGCGAGCTTATGAATAAAAAACGCGAAGCCGACTAGAGACAAGGCGACCAACAGCATAATGTCGCCATTTCCTTAACAGGGATTGGCACACCTAAGACCCCATCACCAAATACCCTGGTCTCGACCCATTATATCGGTACCTTGATCTTTCCTTGTAATAATATTGACATCTATAATACCTCCCTAACCTAACCTTGTAGGGTAGCTATTCTCAGCGAATTCGAATGTATATCTAGGTAGGTATTGTACTGTACCTGGGGTGTATAATATGCATCATAAATTTTTATCAGTCTAGTCTTGTCTAGTCTAGCCAAGCGATGTCTCTTCACAAGCTGATGTCTTTGTTTCAGTCCTAGGGTTAAGTACAGGTAGGTATACATAAACGTTCCGAGTCGTCATGACGATCGAAGAGCAAAGATATTACCAAACCGCTCACCGACGAATCTATATCCGTACAACTTTAGACACGTTTCCCTCCTCCTCGCCGCTAGTCTATAAGATGGGGTGTTATAATCCCGCGACGCTGCATTGCCAATAAACGGTGATAAGAATGAGAATAATAATAGTAGCAGCAGCAGTGTGACAACACGAACCATGTTTCAGAATCCCATAGTTACCTAGGTACCTGTAAATACTTTCCAAGCCTTTTCGCTGACGGTCGCTGAGGTTCTTTCCAATCTATTTGCGATACCGAGGTGACAAGTTGGAACTTGGATGGCAGCATGCCATGAAAGATTTGGGTTATCATAGAGTATACCTACCTCTACCTAGGTAGAACAAAGAAATATACAATCGTATTGTATTCATAGAAAGCACACCGCCTCGGAAGCCCACTAGTCAAGCAGACCTATGTGTTATATTACCGACAGTGCTATGGTTCTTCGTTGTAAGGCGAACTCTTGGTCCAAATCCTCTCAGATGCGCTGCCCTAGAATGGTCACACCTACACTACTACACGGTTCAATAGAATGCTTACTCCTACACCCCATGCGTCTATCCTTGCCTCACATCTTCTTGGGTACCTAGGTAGGTATTCCCACCATCTCGACCTATCTTCTATTCTTTTGTGCTACTCTGTTTAGGCGCGCGCCTTTCCTGACATGATACGATGCGATTACTGAGATTTCTCAATCCTTCTGCTCGGCTGGGAACCCACATTCGATCCATTCTCCCATCGGCGGTCGTCGATCGCACTCCGTATTTAGGATTTAGCGCTGTTTGCGGGGCTTTGGTCTCTCAGCTACTACATACTACACACTACATATTATGTTAGGTATGCAGTTATTCAATTGCTGCGTAGATGGCGAAGGCCTTGGGTGCGCATTCGCTTCTAATAAGTGCTAGGCTTCCGCATAAATAGAGTAGTATCTACTATTAGAGCAACGACAACAGAAATAGAGCGAGGAAGTTTTTGAGCCGTGTAACAGTTCAAGGCCAGCTATAGCACCGCGAGTTCAGGGATTGGGAGCTGGGAGCAGAAGAAGAACGATGGAACGGGAAGTGGGGGGACATGGTTATGACGGAGAGTACCTAAGGTGTGGTTTACAGGCAGACAGGGTCATGGGTCCTCATAAAATACAACTCAGTCGGATCTTTTTTGGAACGGTGGCTTAAAACAACCTTACGCGGGCGACCTTCCATGAAGCCATACCGCCCAGAAGTGGGACGCGAACCTATGTAAGTCGCCCAAACAGAAATGCATAGGATAATTAAAACAAGCCCGAGGTATTATTAAATTGTCTTAAAAGTCTGTGGCTAGGAACACGCCCAGAAGCAAGGTACAGACAACGTTGGTAGGGTACCTGATATCTACCAGGTACCTGCCTGATGATTAAACGTAGGACTTTCAAGGTTTTCCTAGAAGACCGAGGAGTACGATGGTATGTAAGTATGCAGGTAGATTTTTAAGGACTACCTACCTCGTCCTGTACGTTGATATCTACGTCCTACAGAAGAAAGGTACGTAATCTCCGTCATACAGGTATAGGGTCACCAGTCATAGCATGGCGAGCAAATCACAAGAAGAAAAAAAATTATTTTCGACATGGAACCTGCAGATGGTTTTTTTTTTCCTTCTTTCTTGGCAAAGCATGTTGGCTGTACGAATCGGTAGTTAATGTAAGTAAAGTAAAGTTCTATGCCATCCGGAGCCGTCCGCCGTGTTACCATCTCGGCAACATTCCGCCTGCGCTTACCATCAGCATTAAAAGGGAAGATAGCCTGTAGGTATTCGCTTCGTAAGGTGGCTCGCCAATCTCCGACCTTTTTTTCTGGAACGTTTCCAGGCTAAGGTACGTTGGCTGGCCAGGTAGGATATGGCTCAGTAGAGATGTATTGGACCAGCTTCCTCTGTCGCTTTTACAGACATGTCAAGGTTACCCTAGTTATCAACATTGACACCTATCAACGTTCGCCCAGATCCATAAATCTTTGCCCAAGTGTTTGGGAACTTGGTCTTGAAAGTGTAACATACGAAACCGTAGGTATTTAGATCTATTATGGTTCATGCTTACCACTAATAACCCACAGAGATAGGTTCCTCTTATAGGGGTAATAATATTAACCTCACATATTAGATAGTAGTAACTACCTAGGTAGTGCCACTTATACTTGGAGGAATACACAACACAGGTAATTAGGTGGAAAGTACCTAAATGCTTTCTATCTGTAACATAACTAAATTTGAGGTGGGTAATCCGCGATTCTTCTTCGAACCCCTTTTTTCCACTTGTTGCACTTCTGCTTTAGAACGTACGGACTTCTGCAGTACGTCCCCCACACACCGGCTTGACGTTTCTAATGTTAGTAAACCTAGATAGATCTGTGTACCTAATGTAATACGTATGCGTATACTGTACGTAGGTACATACAGGCGAATACGTACATACTATGTAGACGCACCTTGGATGTGCAGCTGATCGCTTTCCAAAGGACCCAACCTGCAGCCCATGATGTACGACGACATGGAAAGTTTAATTGCGCATCTGCGATGCACGTAAAGCGCCGAGGATTAACCTCGCTCGCCTCTTGAAATTTATCGAATCCTGAAAATCGCCTAGGTACTTGCTATCCAATGCTACCACGCAAAGCATCGTCATGTCCGAACCCGCCCTTAGGTAAGATTCTTCTGCGATATCACCTCTCCACTCTGCTCCCCAGCTTCTCCATCAGGCAATCCGACTCCAATCCCAAGATCAGTATGTCGAATAGGATATATTCCTTGCACGCAATCATCATGTAGACAGCGAGGTGAGATAAGCAGGTAAGCAAGTAACGGGTAAACGACGGCTAGTCGTGTTCAAGAGGGAGGCAACCTACGGATCCCAGATTTTACATACATAGTACAGGTACACCACTACTACTTTCCCCCTTACCTACCCCTCGCATCTCATTACTTACCTTGCCTGTGGAGAATACCAAAGATTAATGGGGTCACAGGATAACAAATGCACGCAATTTCCAAAACGGGCATTCTTCTCGAAAGATTCCTTCAGCTGAGGCTGGACGCCCGGCAGACACGAAGGGAGAGACGCCAGGCGGAGCCCGCGACTTCGCTGCAACCCTTCCTCGCCAGGGGCCCAATAAGCCAAGTTGCAAAGACGAGAGAGACATGGCCATTCGGGCCCAATCATCCATGCGTCCATCCCATCCCACCTGTGTACCTAGGTAAGTATGAAGAAGAAAAAAAATTTAAAACATAACCCCGTCGAGTTCATCCGTTACCTAGTGAGGCAATCTCGCTCTGTGCCATGCAGTTAACTATCTATCTGGGCGCGATGTAGGTAAATACGTTGCATCAGGGTGGCTTCTATGCATGTCTTAGAAGTTAGAACTAACGCCATACAGTGACTATACGGCGACTACCTGACCAACCGAAACTACGTAGCTGTCTCCATCCCATTCATTCCCAGCAGCACAACCACCCATCCAAACATCCATCCCGTCTAGTCTCCTCTCCTTCCCTCTAGGTAGTCTCCCTTCCTCATTATCAACACTCACCGCTAGAACGAGTAGCCTTCCAATCCAAAGCAATAGCCTGGTTTCGTGAGGCTCTGCGTGAACCAGTGACATGTCCCGTATCCCATCACACCCACGTCCACCCATCCACTCATCCATCTCCCCCATTCCGCGGGTGTGGTCACGCAACCCCCATCCCGCATATCCACTCACATTTGTGCGACGACACACTTCATCAAAAAAGAAGGATTGGAAGAAGAAAAGGAAGAAAAAGAAAGAGAAAACGAAAGCAAGTCTCGCCGCCGCCCGCGACTAGGAACGGAACCCAAGCCTTCTACGTAGGTACCTACATAGTAGAAGTAGTAGTAGTAGTAGTAGTAGGCTATCTGTTTTGGGCAGAGAGGTAGGTAGGTAGGTACTTGGCGCTTGACCTCGCCACCCCTAACACACACACGCACACACACACACACACACAATACTACCTACACACGCTCAGGTACGCCATACGCACGTAGACCAAGTGTGTGTGTACCTAGTGTACACACCTCCAAGGCCAAGCCACGTCAGAAACGGCAAGCTTCTCGAAAATTATCCTGGCCCTTGTTCTTGTTTCTTTTTGGTTTCTATGCATTTAGGATATGAGGCACCTAACCTAATCTAAAGCTACATGCGCCTCTTAGTTCTGCGCGGCGTGCGTACCCATGGCGTACCCATGGCGTACCCATGCAGCAAGCCAGCACCGAGTCTACCAATCGATGCGTCTATATTTCCGTTTGTCGTAGTCTTTGATTTGTATTCATTTCACCTACAGCCGAAGCTTGCTGCTTGTTGACTCCACCTCTTGCTCCTCCTCCTCTTGCTGCTGCTGCTGCTGCCCGAGGAACCACCACCCTTTCCTCCCCTTTTATTTCCGGCACAGACATTCTGCGCCGCTGGGACGCATACCGCATTCCGCCAGCATCTTTTCAGATGACTTACCTTGCCCGTGTGCTAGTTGCATCAGCGCCTCAAGGCAGACTTGGCACTTTTTGTTCCATCCCCTTTTTTTTTTTTTTCCTCGGTCAACCGAACTACTGCTGCTGCACCCAAGTCTCAGCCAGCTCGTACTCGTCCTCTCGGCCACTGTGAGCTGCAGGCAGGGATCGCGCGAGGTTCCTTAGTCTGCAGCCGCGTTCTTCGAAACTCCTTCGGATCGTGGTAGCACACCAGGCGCAATCGTCTTCGCGTCAATGGGGCCTGTCGGCGGTGGTATACCCCCCGTGCTCGCCCTTCGCCTCAGACCCCCGGCTTTCAAGCTGCGTGCGTGTTGGTATGCGATCTCGATCTCGTGCTCAACTGCGCATCTGACGGTTAGCGCGCAAACTGCCGGCCACACGCTGCGCTCCCCGCGCAGTATCCAGTAGTCTATAGTCTCGCGTGTTGGGATTTCGAGTAGGCGTACGAAGTCCCGCGCTGTTACGTCAGGCACGAGGGTCATACTCGATCCCGACGGGACTTCCTCATCTACCAAGAACTTGCGGATGCCGGCCGGCAGCAGGCCAAGCGTGTCTAACTGATGTAGACGGTGGCGAATCTCCAAGCCGACTACTCTGAACAGGTGGCCAGTCACCCGCGCGCGCTTATACCGAGCCGTGAAGAGCGATGGGCCATGCATGTCCGATTCAAGAAAGGGGATAAGGTAAGGCCGAGCTTGGCTAATTATGAAGTGGTTGACGTTGAAGAGCTGAGCAACACGCGACAGCGGCGATTTGTGATCCTTGGCCGATGCATGTGTACCTGAACGGAAGGCATTTGCTGGCGCCCAAGGCACGATTCTACCATTTACATCTTTGCATAGCACAGTCGTCCGACGGCTTCCGTAGAGTGACGGAGTTGACGCGTTAGATGCGACTGCCGCGGTCCGAATCAGCTAAAATGCCTCGTCAGCACACCTATATATGATTTGCTACTTTTCTTTTCTCAAGCCACGCCAAGGAATTATAATGAGAGACCAAGGATTCAGAGACGTACCACATTGGGCGCCGTAATATAGTTTAGCAACGCATGACTTCCCTCTTGTTCTGCCGTAGCCACTGTGATATTCAAGACACGTTTGCTTCTGTGATATGCTTCCTCGAACGTTAGGTCTCCAAGGTTATCCTTGACACATTCCTCTAAGACATTAACATCGAGGAAGTAGCCTTCGCGCCAAAACCTCATAATCCTCCGCAACAACGTACTAAAGGATGGTGCCCAGCTCCAGCTGTACTTATCATCATGCAGTTGTTGCATATGCGTCACGAAGGCCGATAAGTCAATACCTTCTCCCCTCAGCACTTGGGGAAGCTCGTCTTCAGTATGGATAGCTACTAGACTTGCAATGAGCGCGCCGGTCGCGGTACCCGTGATGATGCGCGGTAGTAATCCCCGTAAGAATAATGCCTTGACGACTCCTAGATGACACAGTCCAAATATAGCACCGCCTTGTAGCACCAGAGTACTTCGACCGAAGGCCTGTCTCGAGTCGTGTAGAAAATCGAGCTTTCGTTGGGTCGTGAGGGTATGCGTGGGATTGTACTTATTATCAGGGGGCGTAACAACGCCCTGGCTGATGTCGTTGATAGCCCCAGCAACTTGCGCAATGTACTCTTCGATCAGGTACTTCGTTCCGGCGAAGGCGCGGTTGTATAGCCTCGGTGTCGTGATGTTTCCGAGGTTGCGAACCAGGCCAGAGCGTACAAGATCGAGAAGCGACTGCAGATCATTATTATCGCGAGCTTCAGCGATACTATCGAGACGATTGTTGATGAGGATCCAATCATAGTAATGAGACGCGGGGTTGTTACGCCTACGAGAGCGTTGATGTCAGTCTCCCTTGGACACATGCTTTGGTTTACTATAGCAGACCATACCAGAGATTTAATTCCTTAAGGTTATCCAGCTGTAATGCTGCATGCTCCCAGTCCTCGTATGTTACCGCATTTCTCAACGCGTCGAGCCATTCGTCCATCAGGCTTTTCGACGTCCATCTTCCCCAAAGTTTCTAATATAAGAAGACCTGTGTAAGTCTGAGTGCGGTTCAACGGGTATTTTTATTGCACGATTTAATACGATTCAATACTCACTCTATACCAAAATAGAAAGACCTCCAGAAATAGGGAAAGTACGGCTACGGGTATCTCGAAAATCGACAGCATTATCTCATAATATTCGCGTCGGCCGGGATCATCGGCGATAGAAGATCGACGCCGTTAATAAGGGCGCGTAGGAGCACAAACTATGAGGTAACTTATAGTCTATGGATCCGTAGAAGCTGAGACTAAAGGAAAACAGCACCCGCCATTATAAGTCGCGACGAAGCGACAAGGCGAGGGTAAAGTTGAGAAATCGACGAGAGTAACCAACATTTGGAAGTTGGAATGAACGTTACGTTAGGTTAGGTATGAGGTACCTAAGTAGTTATTTGATTCCCCGGGTTTTATTAGATTTGTACGACGCGCCGGGGCTCACGACTCACGAGAACCGAGCTAACAAGGCTGCTGCTAAGACCAAAAGCTCATGTGTTCTAATAAAATCGGGAAATCGGTGCTTATCAACTTTGCATGTGAAAGAGCATATTCCCTATGTTGGCAGCTGTCATCACCTGTTCGTCTACAGGAACCACTTCCTCGTCTCTTTCGACCCCCTATCCTTACTACACAAGAGATAGAAGTAGATGTTAGTTAACGATTTGATTTAGAAACAAGTAGCTAGTTCATGCTGTTTATATCGCAAGTCAAGGGGTTATGTACGTTATCAAAATGAGTATATCGATCAGTGATATTAAAGTTAACATGGTATTATAAGGTAGACTTCATCCTGGAAACGTTGCTATTGTTAACAGATTGTTACAAATTTGACTTTATGTACAAGCTATGCCTCTACCTCAATGCTACCTTATAACCCGGTGCCTTATACATCGTATTAAATCTTTTAACCCAAAGGGCGGACTCATATTTCTCAAACTGGAGAAACACAGCATCACATTGAGAAACCTGTGTTGACACAAACGCCATAAATGGCTGTTTTTTATAACTATATAAATCTTATCAACGGAGCCTCTTGCTACAGAAAAATACCATAGAAGGAATAAGTAGCAGGTGCTTTTAACTTAGCGGCTAGACTTATATTTCGTTGATTGCTACCTCCTAACGCGATATCCCAGGGTGGTGGACTTCCTTACACTGCACACTTTTCTTTAGCATCCCTTATAGAAAGCCAGACTTTTCATTTTGCGAATTGGACATAATATACAGGCGTGAGTACAATGTCTGACTTGCCTATGTTAGTTAAGCTGTGGAATTGTATCAGTCAATTTCTCTACGACCATCCTCGTGTCAGATTCTAGACAGGTAAGATACAAATGGAGACAAGTCGACAGAAAAGCACATGATATAGACAGGTACCAAGCGACCTTTGGTAGGTACGTACGTCGAAAAGAGAAGATAGACAGGAGAACCTTATGGGTATACTCATAATAGTGTCAAATGCACAGTGAGTGTATACCACATTAAGTGGTTCTCTTCTACCAATCGTATTTTTGAGTATCTAACCATACCAATCCATGAATCATCGCGATGCTGTATTAGTATAGGAATATACTATCCTATTGTCTTAATCAACTTTCTGAGCCATCGAGTTTCCGCACATGCCAACACCGCAATCATCGCGTGCGAGCAAATGCTATAGGGATGGCCACTGAGTATAATACAGACGGCAGGGACTTGTTCCCGGTAAATTAAACCCCCAAAACCAAATTTACTCGTCATCGTCATCCTCGTCAATGATGTGGCGCCTTCGTCGGTGCGAAGACTCAGCTGGCGCATCTATGTCGTCCAGGTCGGCATCAGCGTCGGCATCAGCATCTTCGGCATCGGCCGTCCTCTGGCGCTTCTTTCTGGGGACCTCTTCCTCCTCTTCGTCGTCCAGAATGTCTTCATCATCCTCGTCCTCGTTTCCTTCTTCCTCGTCATCACTAGGGGCAATGAAGTCGTCTTCGCGATCATACTCATTTTGACGACCCCCGCCCGAAGGGAAGTCATCATCTGAATCGTATTCTGGTCGGCGTCGCTTGCCCTTTGACGAGCCTTGGGCACCTCTCTTGCGGGAGCCGCCGGTTCTGCGGCCACCTTCTAGGTCGCCGATAGAAAGTCCTCCGCTCCTATAGCCTCCCGCTCGTCCATCAAGTCGGGCAGCTGCATTTTCCCGTCGTCGCTGTGCTTTCATACGCTCCTTCTCGGCTAGCTCCGCTTCCCTCTTCTGTAGTTCAGGGTCTTTTGTAGTTGTAATGATCATATCGCTACCTTGTCTTCTTGCGCGCTGAGCAGCTTCCATGTCACGGCTAAATTTAAGTAAAGCTTCATCCTTCAAGTTTGAGGGAAGCTTCAAGGAATATTGTTCGGACACGTGGCCCACAGTCATAAATAATTCGCTCGTAAAGTGCGCTGCTGCGACATAGTAGTGGGCATCATCTCGCTCTTCGTAATACGGCTTGTCAGCCGCGGGAGCCATCGCCTTTTTCTGTATCTCGTAGTGGTCTCCTCCAACGGACATGGTGAGGGACCCATCACTCCAGCGGTATATATTAGCATTGCTTTTCAGCTCGCTGGTCTCGGGGTCTCGCTGGAAGCGAACGACGTTTTTGCGCTGCTCGGAGCGCGCGTTCTGGATGTCCCACTCGGTCGCCTCGAACGCGTCGGGTTTGTATTCTTCAGCTTGTAGCTTGATAAAGGAAGGAACTTTCATCGTTTGCAACTAGCATCGGTCAGAAGAATACTAAAATCGCAGTTAAGGTAAATTAAAACATACCAAACCGGTGCCATCCTTAGCGGTTCGTGGGATCCTGTGTCGATGAACTGTGACGCCCATGATGCGCTTCATCTTGACCTCTTGATTCTCGTCTGGATCGTCGTCACGGTCTCGGCTACGATCGTGATGATCGTCATCATCATCGTCACGATCCTCATCGCGCTCGTTGCCTTCATCTTGTTCCGAAGCCAGATCTTGATCACTAAGCACTTGATCTAGGAACGAAGCTCCGCCCTCGTCGCCGAAGAGGTCACCTCCATCTTCGGAGTCGGACATGATGAATATTTGTGTGTAGTTTGAGGATTGTATGAATTATCGGGACGCCGAGAGAAAGGTTGCGCAGATGTGGAAATGATGCAATTGGAGGGTTTAGGATTGAAGTCGCGATCTGATAGACCGTAGAGTGGATGAAATTGAAGTAGGTACCTCCCAAAGTATATGTAAATGTAAATCCTATGTATGTACCTGCCTGCCTGTCTAACCTTCAAACGGGCATCTACTTAAATCGCACTGTGAAGAGAAATGCTTGTAACAATAGGTACATATTTATCAATTCGAATTAAAAATGTCTTATCGATAAATATGATGCAGCCAAAGGGGGACTAGCGTTGGGCGCTATTGTAGACAAGCATCTCCTGAAACGGCTGGAGACGTTAAAATATTATTGGATGGAATCGATGTGGGAAACTTCCTCACATCGCAAAGTCACTGTCATGTCACATCCCTTCTGCCCCTTTTCTTCATGAAGCCTCGCTAATTCTTTTATTGTGTCTTCGGTCGGCGATTCCCTTCATTTTCTTAGCAGACTAAAGACCGACCTTTGCTGCTCAGTTTTCTTCACTTTCTTGCGTATCGCCGACCGGCTACGTTCGTTCATAATATCTGCATTCCATCGGTACCCGACCTGGGCGGCTCTCAAGTGATCATGTCTAATCTATTTTCTGGGATGTAAGTGTACATTCTTTTATTTTTTTTTATTTTTATTTTTTCCTCCTCTTTCCTTTTAGGCTTGTCCTATTTCTTTTAAAAGATACCCTCGCCCCTTAAAGACCATTTATCCTCTCCAGACTCATGTATCGCAACTCAAAAGTTACAAAAGTTACAAAGAGAGAAGCCACGTGCAGAGGATCACCTATTTTGATTCTAGGAGCATGTCCTAGGCTATTTATTCGTTTATTATGAAAATACCCCCCTCCCCCCTAGCCAAAAGAAATTGGCTATATCCTACCATAATGTACATGTTCAGCTGGACTTGTATAGCCTTGCATACGTCACTGGAACCTAGCCGTTTATGATGGCTATTCCGGAGAATTTGGCTTCCTTCATGCGGATCCCAATGCTGCATGCCGACTACCAAGAAACCTTTTCGGGTCATACAAATCCGGACATGTTATATGGCAGGAGTCGGTATGATATTTATATTCAGCAATGGATCAAGAAAACAGGGGGTTCGTTCCTACTTTGAAGTCATAGTTTTGGGACGCACCCGCGATATCCAACGATATTCAACACAGTGCAAAGTTGGAAAAAAAAACAATTTATTCATTAAGAAAAGAAAAAAAACCAAAACCAAAACCCACACACAAGTTTCTTTCAGACGATCTTTTTAAGCTCGTACGAGCCAAAAAAGGCTATCGTGGGTAATCTAGCCCCTGTTCTAGAGGAAACTCTTGACCCTATGCCTTCGCCTTTCCCCTTAAGATGGGGAAAGACTAAAGGCGCCAGCAAAGCAACCCTGGATCCAATGTTGGTTCCCAATACAAATACAATTTCATAATGGAGCAAAGTAATAGCCTGGACCCTTATTATGGGTCTATTGGGTCTTCGATATGCAAGTGCTATTCTCTTACTACCCTTAACTTATCCTTAACTATCCTTAACTACCCAGACTACCCTTACTTACCCTTACTACCGTTGTCTCGGTTTCATATTTGCTTGTCGGCTTGTCCAGTTACCAGGTTGGATTACCTGACTTGAGATCATGAAGTCAAACCTGGCTTCCCCCTACCCACCAAATACAAAATATATATAAGGCCGGGGCGCCTCACGCAGCTCATTGGTTCTTCCCCACCGTCTCTTGTCAGCTCCATATAAGGGCACCGGACGCACAACAAAGGAATAGTTGCTAACTTCCCACCTTCAGAAACGCTCGATTGAGAGGAACTTCGGGCAAGGCCCAAGGTCAGAACAAGAGCCCCGTTCAAACTAACAGCGGTCAACCCATCTCTCCCACCAACCTCTCCCAAGGCAACCAGTCACCCGTTAGCCTAGCACCAAAGATCCCTCCGCTTCCCAACTCACCAGCCCTAGCTCAAAATATCAGCATGGATGATTCCGGTAACGCAGGAGTCAATGGCGATGACCCTCTCAGCGTTTATCACCTGCCTCGGCCTATGCCCCTATGGCTAAACCTGCAATACGCGAAGCATATTGTGAAGGGTAACTTTATGACCTTGAGCGCCCGCCCGAAGACCGTCGAGCCGGGGGAATGGATTGCTCATCAAGGTAAATAGCTTTGGCATCGTATCCCTCATGAGCTCCGTTAGAAGATCCTAACCTGTTTCAGTGGTCGAGCACTACCGTAACCTCTGGAACTTCGTACGAGTGATCCACGAAAAAGAAGAAGACGGCACTACAATCTGCAATCCTCAAACTTGTCCTCGAATGTCGGCTGGCGCGTGAGTAGAATACCCGTAACAGCGGGCAATGATTTGGTATGTCTAACACAAGATATAGGAACCATTCTTTCACGTGGCTGAATTATAAGCGGGAACCCGTCGAGTTACCGGCCTACGAGTATATCACGCTTATGCAGCGATGGATATCTGGAAAGATCGATGACACGAATATTTTCCCTACCGATACCAACGGCGTTTCTTACGCGCATAACCCATCCATCACCACGACCCCGCTCTCGCAACTGTCTAACCCCGAAGACAAAGATTGGATTGGAAAGGCGAGTGGATTCCCCGAGAACTTCGTGGAAGTTTGCCAGACCATCTTTAGACAGATGTTCCGGGTCTATGCTCATCTGTACTGGGCGCACTTCATTGACCCTTTCTACCACCTGAATCTCGAAAAGCAGTTGAACAGCTGTTTCAGCCACTTCGTGCTAACAGCCTGCGCACTTGATATGCTGAAGCCTCAGGAATTGGAGCCCATGCAACCGTTAATTGACCTATGGGCGGCTAATGGCACTTTTCCGCCCGGCTGCAAGGCATACGAGTATTCCAACCATAAAGCTGGAGAGCTATTGATGCAGCTTGGGACTGGCCCATAGAATGCGCCTCGCCCTCATATTGCACGACGATGGTAGTTGGTGAAAGCCGATAAAGTCTAAGGCATAGGCCCCTGGTTCGAGTAGTGGCCGGATCTATACAATTAGCCGAAGACAAGGAATGGTACGGAAAGAGCAGGGAGAGTAATCCTCATAATTTCGTCTCGTACACAGCAAATGGATATCCTGCGATTGAGGAGTTGGTACGAGGTGTTTTTCGTTTTGAGATTTGACTTGAGGGGACTTAGCCCACGATGCACACAGAAAAGGAGAGTGTGGGCGAATTCGGTTGGTAGATAACATAACGTTCGTATGAAACGACGTATAACTTTCTGCGATTACGACACGATATGAAATGGTGCGAGGTTTTGCATCTCGATAGTTCTGTAGCATAGATGCAGCATTACTACTTAGGTAGAGAATAAGACAAGATATTAGATACAAGATATATCTACCTAACCTTAGGTAGGTAATATTGTTGACCCTATGTCTTCTTACCAACCTGTATCTACCCAGCTAGATACTAAGGGTAGGAAAGGCATATATATTTACATGTCTGCCATATGTCTACCTACCCACCTCCCTACATGATGCCATTTACCTCGATATCTAATTGCCTGTTACTAGAATGTGTCGTTTGCCATTTGTCTATATTTTAGAGATATACATCTCCCAACCCAAAGGTTTGGGAATTGAAGATTCTTTCAACACCTAACTGGCAGCGCTGCTGATGGTGGGCTGATAATTGCGTTCCCCGCATCCGATTCTCAAAATCAGAACTCAAAAGCAGAATAAGGTAGTTAATTGTTAACCACTTCTCATTTGGTAGTAGGTAGGTTAGGTGCCTTATTTGTATGTATCTAATACCTATCCTCGTAGTCCTGGACATGCGTCCCCAATACCAAACGGATTCCATTCCTCGCGCCGGCGTAGAACGAGAACGTGTGCCCGCATTACGCTGTCCTCGCTCCTTTCCGTCGCATCCACGTTGGTTTTTTTGTGCTGCTCGTGACGCTGGCGGTGTTTGGGATCCAGAGACTTATTAGAGGGTATGGTATGGAGAGGGAATAATCCGGGTTGGTGGAAGGCATAGGAGTAGGACTGGAGATGTTGGGCCCAGCTTCGGGAACAATGGCTACGCGTGAGGATTGGCGTTCAAGCAGATGCAGAAGCTCCAGAATCAAGGCACGAACGGGAACCATTACTAGGTACCATCTGAAACAAAGAAACTAGCAAGAGCATAACTTAAGTCACAGGGAAATTGTTTTTCATAGAAGATAGTTTCGATATCAATAGAATTTGATCTTCACTTGCACTTTTTTTTTCAGCCAGAGCTGACGGGCGGAATGATAGCGACCTCATCGCCCTCCTTGATTACATTTTCGGGGGACTCATCGCCGCCAGACCCGGAGATATCGACGTAATTGAGATTGACCGTCACTAAGCACGAACTGAGGATCTTGTCTTTGATGCCACTATATTTCTCTTCTAACACGTCGAACAGTTTCTGCAGAGGAAGTGGTGCAGGAAACGTATCGAATTCTTTGGAGGTGAAAGAGCTTGCACTTGCGAAGTAGAGGACGTTGAAATGGCCTTTCGGCGGCTTCGGGATAGCACCCATAATGAACTCTAATTAGGTAAGGGAGCGTGAACCTATCTTTAGGATTTTCGTTAGCTGGTGTATTCTTAAAAGATACTGTAACAGAAATGATTGGAAGGATGTTGATTCAGAGATCTTGGTGATATGGTAGAACATCAGTGATGATCAGGTAATACATGCTAATTTTATGCATCATTCAACAATAATATTTTTCTGAGGGAAAATAAACTTACCATTTACAAATGGGGTTGGGTTGTTTACCCAAGTTGAAAGTTTTGAGGTTGAAGTGGGAAGAAAAAAAAAAGTAGAAAGAAAAAAATCGCAGCTTTTTGAAGCTTAGCCGCAGAAAAACCAGAAAAAAAAAAAAGTTTCTGAGCTAAGGGCAATTACTGTAAAGAGATTAGTAAGCAGTATGCTCCTGTGAGTTATCAGTTTTTTCTCAATATATTCAAGTCTCTTTCTGTTATCGAAACAACTTGCAACCTCGAAGCGTTTCAACTTGAAATGGAACACGTTGGGCAGCGGAAATGAGAAATGTCAATTCGTAGACAATCAAATATAGCCGTATCACGCCAGAGATGTAATGACAATTGTCGAAATGGTCGGGGTATGAATTCTTGCTTTATTCGCAATGCAGAATGCCCATCATAATCCGGCGACTCCTGTTAACAAAAGGAATCTTGACCGCGAATCCTGTATGATGCCACTGATCTTCGACCGTACCTTAGGTAACCTAGTCTTGAGATCTTAAACTAGCAATAAAATCCCGATCCTCCTGCTCGCAACTCCTCCCAAAGGAAAATCCCATTCTTTTATCGTAATCGTCGGGCCTCACGCTCGGACTCGAGTAGGCAGAGGATGTCGTCCTCACGAACTATATAGTTTAATTTTCGTTAGTCACCGTCGAATATGCATGCGCCCAGTTATATATATATAAAAGAAATCTCGCGGGTTTTGCGTACCGGGTCCCTTGACATTTCGGATGATGCTTCGGGTCTGGTCGTCCATGAATTCGACACGGACTTGGGTAACACCACCGCGAGAACCTGTATCCCGTCAGCTCCTGTCCGCTCAATCTGCAATGTCGCATCTTTCGGATTGCGCGAATGCCGTGATAGGGATCGTACCGGTTCGGCCCAGGACGCGGGTGACCTTGACAAGCTTGACGGGCTGCTTAGAAGACTCCATTTTTGCAATCTATGTGGTTGATTAGGCCGAGTTTTCGCAAATGGGATCGGGGATGCTTTTTCGTACTTGTGATTGAGGTTTTGCAAGGGGTTTGCTGCCTAGTCGCGGGATATGGGAAATTTGTCAAATGTTGGCAGGAATTTTTGATTAGGTCAAGAAAGATTGTAGGCTCGCTTAAGCCGCTCTTAGTTGTGGGTAGGGCTTTTTTTTCTGTTACAACGCATGGACCATCCATATCGGTACGTACCCAACTTACTACCCCCATTTATCGATAATAGATAAGAATAGGTACCTACCTAAGCAGCTAAGGTACTCGATAGTTAGATAAGCCTTTGGCTACATTATATTTCTTTTTATATGCATGATCAAAGTTAACCGTTATTTGCAAAATAAATAGGGGATTTTCGACTTGAAGACAGTGTTAGGTCAGGATTGGTAGTGTATTATTCGACCAAGTGCCTGGGATCACCAGAGCATTCATACTTGTTTTCCCTTTAGAAAGTATAATAGGGTATCATGGCTTATGTAAATAACAAAGAAGGTATACTAGTATCGTCGTTATTGAGACAATCCAGCCACCTTGGCCTCTAGATCTTTTACCCACCCCTCTACCACCTTCATATTCGTCGTCATAGTCGCACCCCCTTCTCCCATGACTGCTTCAATCTTTTCTAGGCCTTCTCTCCACTGCTTAATATCGGCAGCCATCTCGCTCTGCGATCGTTCGATACGCTCGAGCGTTTCATTAGCTGTCGCCGCATCTGCATGAATAGCTCGTAGTGAGCGAAGTCGATCTAGCAGTGGAGGTAGAAGAGGTGTCAAGCTTTCGATCGTCGGCAGTGTCCCATAGAGAGCGTTTATCTTGGCTGTTTGCTCTGAATTATCAGCTTCAACCGGAGAACCACCTGAAGATGCAAGGGAATCCTGAGCAGCCTTGGCAGCCCTTCTTGACTTTTCTAGTTGCTCCGCCTCCTGGATTAACGTCCTTACCCGACGGCTAATGCCATCGAGAGATGAGGTGGACGCTTCGGACAACGTCAAGATCTGGTTCTGAAGCGTATCCAGGGTAGGCATGATAGCACGAGGAAGACCATTTCTTTCTAGTTCAGGCATAGCCGAGGAAGTAATACCAATGGCTTTTTCGAGCATTACCAGTCGCCGGTCGAAGTCGGCGGCTTTTGCAAGCGCATGACTTTGCTCGTAACTTGGGGCATAGGTAACAGTGTACGTTGCCTCGTCTAACGGTGACCGGGTGGGCATTTGGCTCTCACCCGTCGTTTTATCGCTCGTGACTGTTGCTGGGCGATCTCTGGTTGCTATTGCTCTTTCCGGAATAGTCGAAATTTCTTCCAATGCCTGGCTTAAGGAGACAAGGTCGATATCTTGGTCTGGTAGAGCTTCCGTCGACTCTGACTTCCGTTTGTTGTATTCTTCTTTAGCTTCCTCTATCTCTCGCTTTAGCCGTGCAATCTTTCTCTGTAGGTCTTCGCCTCCTTCTTCGTCGCTCAAGTCGCCAATTTGTTCGGTACCATCTTCGAGAACTCGTTGTCTTCGACTCGAGGTTTTATACGATTTCCGCTTTCCATTCAGCCGATCAGAAAAGTCCACGTCTCGAGCATCGACCTGCGCAGGTAAAAACCGAGATCGAGCCTGATCTATCCGAAGTCGCGAATGAGAGATTTCGTGAATATCGTCGTCGTCATCATCTTCGTCGAATTCGTTTTCCGACTGCGATCGACCTGCAGTAGTCTGGAAGGGAGTTTAGAACGAGGCGAGCGGGACTAGGAGTATGGACATATCCTTACAGGAATTGTAGAGTTATCGTCCGTCAACTCGGGAGTTTCGTAGATGTCGGGTGCAGAGTCCTAGATGTCGATTAATACAACATAGCTGCTGGACTTGGGCATCTGAACATACTAGATCTGGCAATGCAGCATATTTCCTATTCAACGCCATATTGCAGGTCGAAACTTTTAACTTTCACAAGCTCCAATTGGTCAAATTACTAGCCCTTGAAATTTTAACACTCAAGGAATAGAGGTCAAAGATTAAGGGGGTTTGGTATTAGGGAAAGCTGTAAAGTTAGAGAATGTGACAAACGAGTGAAAGAGCAAATAAAATGTGAAGTTGGAAGATGAGAATAGGTACATACATGTTGGTACGTATCTAAGTACCTCATAGCCCTGGAGCTCTTTAAGTTTTGAGTTTCAAAGGAGGTAAGTACGTTTGAAGTACATGCATCGTAACATGTGTGGCTAATTTGTGGGTCCACTATATGTTTCTGCCTACCTATGTATGTACACAAGTTGTCCAGCCTGTGCAACGCGTCTCTAAAGTCTAAACGCGTCGTTCTTGCTCTAAGCTTATGTACTTCAAGGTACCTAACCGTCGTCAAAATTGCTACGGATACCGGACTTCGTGCATTTCCAGCAAATGTTAAACGTTAATCAATTGCCCATCAATTGGACCGCCTAAAGATGCATAACAACACAGAACAGAATAAAAACCCGTGATTGATTACCAGTGCGTCTACTTCAAGTGTTCCTCATCATTTCGTTGTTTCACTAGTGACTAACAGTCTTACCAGAGCAATTCCTTCGGTGCCCAGTGCATGAGGCACATGAATCACTTTTTTTTTGTCTGTGGCTGTCCTTTTCTCAGCTTCTCAGCGTCTCAGCCTCTCAGCCCTAAGGACTTTCAACTTAAGCCTACTTACAATTATTTGCTTCAAAACTCGTATGTATGTATACGTGTTTCTTAGCACAAAGCAATCACTCAGCCCTATTGCATATTATTTGTGTCTATCACATACAAACAGTGCTTGGTTTCGGCAATAAAGGCTTTAAAGAATGCCGGTCATTGTACCGGGTGAAACCCGTCAGAAAATACAAGCCCGTATTGTTGGGTTAAGTAGACGTCAGAAACCACCTCATCTCTTAAACATTATCGGAAATCGAGAGACTCAGCCTTACAGATCAGAATCTGACAATGTTAGGAGCAACATACCGGCCTCAAGAATGAATGGGCTCAGAAATATTCGAGAACCCGAATCCATTACGGCACCGCCCCTGAGCAGTGATGAGGAAGCAGATTACCAGCATGACTCTGATTCTGATGAGAACGACAGCCGCTGTAAAGATATAAGACCAACAACTTTTACCACTAGTCTGTCATCTCTTCAGGAGAGCCATTTACGCGGACATACCAAGGAGAAGTCGAAAGTATCATCCCAATCAAAAGACTTCCCAAGTGGCTCACAAAAGGAAACGCCATCTAGCTCGGCTGGTTCGAAGAGATCAGCTCAAGACGTTGCTTCAGAAGATATTAGTCATTTATTGAACAGGTATGGCTTTCCGAAAAGGAACACGTCAACCAACTCCAAGCCTGCTATAACCTATGGTACATCAAACAGTTCGAAGCCTAAATCCTCGGTAAAGCGCAAGAGTTAGTCCGCATACCCTACTAGGAGTATATCATACTAACTTTATGTTTTCTTACTAAAGTACAAGGTCACCCAGGCAAAAAACCCAAACAGGATGAGGCCAGCCCAAACCCTGAGGACACTAGCCCTCTTCCAAGAAAGCGGTTTAAAAAACCCGAGACCATCAGCCCGGAGAAAACAAAGCCCTCTAACAGTTTCATCATGCCACAACCCTTGCCAGGTTCTAGTCCAATTCAAGACTCCAAGAAATCCAATTTCAAGCATCGGTGTGTATCATCAGACGAATCACCGCCGAAAAGCAAATTTAAGATCCATAATTTAGACGAAGAATCGGACGAAATCGCAGAAGCACAGTCAGGTTTGCCGCCTAGTAGGTCAAAGAAGTTACACGGATCTAAATTTAAAAAACGAAAGTCTCCTCGGGAATCTGTGGTAGATGAATACTCCCAGAGACCAGCTTTTAAACTACATTCTTTAGACGACCTGGACGATTTGGACGGCAGCGACGATAAGGTCCTTACTGTGCTTGAGAGTAAGAGCTCCGATGACGAAGCAGATGATGTCAATATGCAAAGTCCAGTTATCACGCCAAGATGTCCTATGTGTCACGAAGTGGTCGACGCTGAGCTCCTGGCGAAGCATTCAGACCATGGCAGAATGAACATAAAGAAGCAAACAGCATTCTGCCGTTTGCACAAGCGGCGGACAGCGTTGGACTCTAGGTCTAGGAAAGGATATCCTACTATTAATTGGATGACGCTTGAGAAACGATTAGATACGCACCAAGAGTTGTTGAAAGGAATCTTAGAAGGCACTAGACGATCATATTATCGTGGAGTGTTGCAAGAAAACGTCGAAGCAGGAAAGAATCGGACATTACTAAAGACCGACGCCAGCTTCACACCAGGCTATTACGGACCGCGTGGACTCCGCGCTATGACGGAATATATCATACGGAATCTGTCATCCGTTGTTCGAAAGCGCGCGGTTGAAGATAGACTCGTCTCCGCTAGAGGTTATACCGGATATGTTCAAGCAGTACTAGTACCCGAGTTAGCGGTTCGTCTGATTATGGAAGACATGAGCGTCTCAGAAGAAGATGCGCGGAGTATCATGCTGGAGAGTATCGAAGTCGGAGAGCTCCTATATGAAGACTCTGGGGATGTTGTTGTTGGCATCAGCGACGAAGAGGAAATCTCATAGTAGGATGTCAAAAGTAATTGGAGAACCTACGTTCAAGATAGACAAGCATATCGGTTCATCTGAATGAATACGTGTAAGGCTGTCACTCTATAGCCTGATATTCTAGCAACCATAAGCTCCGATTGGGCTTATGACATTATCCATACTAGTTCTCATAACACTACATACCTTACACAATGACATAGATCGTGCATCAAATACCGAAGATATCGAAGCTAATAGAGGGGTTTGGACAGATATAGTAATGCTGCATGCATCAACGATGCATGTGCGAGCGCGGGAACTTGCGGCAGCAGTATAAGAACATGCAGGCTGTCGGTCCGGCTTAGTATAGTACATACTATGTATGGGGGTGACAATGTCGCCCATGGAGTAGTACTACTTACTTCAATGTTGTAGATATCGCACTTGACCGAACCGAACCTAACCTAACCCTACGTGAACAAACACCTTGGGCATACGTCGATTCTAGTATTGCAGTATTACTTCTACTTTGTAAATAAATTTGATAGGCCTCCTGCAAGGTAGACCAGGTTTAAGGGGAGATTCCGAACCAGTCCTTAGGAGGCATCACCCCATGGAATACGGACCACAAAGACGAATCCAATTTCTTTTGCTCCCATCTTGGATCATAGCGTTAAATGATAGGTCGACTTTTTTTCTTTCTTGCCAAACCGAATGCTACCCAGCAGCCGATGTTACCTTCTATATAATTATGAGCACTACTAAGACGGGCAGCCCTTGATGATGGAAGATATTATTTATGTACGGAGGTACAATACTTGTAAGTATGAGGAACGGGGTCGGTGGGGGGAATAAAGAATAAACAGATGATATCTTACGCACTGTTATCAGAGTCAGAACAGTTAGGTCAGCTGCTAATGCTAATGTTGGGATGGTTATTAGTTACGAAATGGAGAGCGTCACGTTACCCGAAGGAAAGCGAGCAATCTTCCCTCCGATATATGACTTTATCTGTGTTTAGTGTTTATTTGGGGAGGGGATTTTTTATTTTGGCGCTTGTTGCAAGGATGCTGAAGCGGCGCTAAAACTTGGTCTGGGGTCTCGGCGTATGTGGGGCCAATGAACCCGGTTTTGCGGACGTTAGCCGATGGAGCATCAATCATATAGTGGTCAGAGCCACCTGCGCCCGCATTTTTGACTTTCACCAATGCCCTGGGACAGACATTCAAAGAGCCATGCCTTGAATTACGTACGTATGTACCTACCTGTACCTAATATAGGTAGGTACATGTATTTTACTTTAGGTCACTTGGGATAGGTACCTGAGGCTACATACCTTTATATTACTATCAATTATAGTTGAAATGAACCTCAGGTTTCATCTATAAATATGCAAGCAGCTAGGTACCTTAGGTACACATGGTATCTCAGATATTATGTACTTTTGATAGGTTAGGCAAACGTATAATATTGGAAACGACGAGCCTCACGAATTTGAGTCACGGGGTTCACTGCTCGAGTCATGCTTATTAAAGAAGAGTATTACCGTAGCCTGATCCACAGGAAAGCGGTAACACGAAATATCACTCTATTGCCAAGTCGAAAATAAATCGGTTCGGGAAATAGATTTCATATGATTTGTTGATATATAAGGTATATATATATAGGTATATACATCTAGATGTAAGGGTGTACTAGTTATGTATATTTATCTTGTATGTGTATGGTAAGATTCGGTATCCGTAAGTGGTATTGAGTTTTTAGATGTAGGCTGACTTAAAAAATCCATATGTATGCGAAATGGTGTGATCGGGGGCTAACTAATAAATGTTGGGCATAACTATCTACAAATTCTTGAATGTTATGGGTTGGATTACGCAGTGCATCGATCTGAATGGAACTTGCCGCCGGCAAGAGACCGACCTTTAAAATCAACAAATAGAAACCAGACGAGTCATTTCGATACTACCTACATAAAGTATGCTGCTCATAGGTAAGTATTAGAGAGATGGAATCTCGACGGCATCCCGGTGTCCCGATCTCCTGGTATCTATTATTATATAGAAGCCGCATACAATTATACAATTATAACAAATCGGATTAGGTATGGATTAGGTACCTAGGTATTCAGCCACCACCATTCAGCTACCAAGGTCAGCTATCAAAGTCCTACGCGACCTAAGCAATCATCGTCTTGGAATCCATAACTTTTCGCAAAGCAGATCCGACTTCGATATTTAGTGCCTTATACAGTAAGGGCCTAGGTTGTGTCGTTAACTCTCGAAGTCATGTAACAACAATAATGATAAGACGACTAAGACGGCTAAGACGACTATTGATGTTTGGAGATGGATGACAAGCACAGATTAGGAATTAGTAATGTCGAGCTTTAGGTATTGCCCCACTGAATTAATTGGTACTAGTAGTTGGCCTTCTTTGAGCAACGTGATATGATACCTATGAAGGATACCATAATATGTAGAGGTAAGGTATGGGCCTTATTATTGTAAAAGTTGTAAGTTGGGTGATCAATGTAAGTAATGGCAAGCAAGTGGAAAGTTGCCGAAAGTTGTAGCTGCTGTTGTACGTACCATCCGAACCCACTTTCTTACTCGACTCTTACCTCTCTCTAAGTTAAGTTCAATCTGACACTTTACTAACCTAACCGGACCAAGTAACCCTGCTACAGTAGCAGTTACAGTTACCTGTAGGCTGTTATAGGCTGTTACCTTCCATAATGTTTAGGTACCTAAGGTACCTAGGTAGGTATTACCATTGTAGGTATTGTAGGTAGGTGTTGTATTGTATTGTACCTACCTAAAGTTATTGTTATGAGGTAGTTGCGGCAAGCATCTTTGCCCTGCTCTGCCTTTAAACTGCGCCCTGTTTCGCAAAGACTGTGTCACGTAGTCTGCCTCTGCCAAAAAAACCAAATCATTTTCAGCCCTCAATCTTGGCTTTGGTAGTCCGTATCTACTTTGCTTACTTGTCTTGTCCACCTCCTAACTCATAATTCATAGCTCATATCCTCTTTTTGAATATCAGTCGCCTGTAGCGCACTTGGGGACGCTGCGCTTCTCCGTCCACTCTACCTGATTTTATTCTCTCTCCACTTATATACGAATATACGATACATACAATACATACCATACCTCACATACCTGGCATCCCATACATAGGTACCCTTACATGGTACCTGACTTCACGATCAAGATCTACCTTAACGCCCATAACGCTCAGAGGGAAATGTCATACCCTACCCCTCTTTGATGGCGCCTCCTTTTTGACGATAGCTGCGAGGACCAACGCGAAAGCGACAATGACAATGACGAGGGATGATGGCCGCATTACCTCCTTCGCGAGTACGAGCAGTGGTCACTCCAATATCACATTGAAACCATCCGCTCCCAGTCGCTCGGTCTCGGTCTCCTCAGCCTCGACAAAGGCCACCCCGAAGCCCATCAAAACGAGCGACTATGGCAAAATCAGGTACGTCATGACTAGACTCTTTCTTCACTCTACTGCTTAGGTCCCACGAATCCTGTGCAAAGCTGTTGTCGGCTTTACTGCATTTTGGTCCGAAAGGCTACGAGGACAAGCAACGGGGAGCCGAGTCGACTGTAGTCTATTTAGTGTTTAGCGAAAGGGTTGCTTTGTCTACAACTTCGGCCAAAACTTTGTTTACAAACATATTCTTAGCAGCAAGGTTTTTAAGCTAACGTTATATGCGTCTTACCTTATTTATAGGACGTTTAACGAAGAGTCTCAAGTCTCACCCACAGCATCCGGTCATCGCCTTGCTTTATCGCCAACTTCAACCGCATCTAGCAGTTCCTTACTCGATAATCGCCGCATGAGTGACCTTGCAGACTACCGTCGCGACCTTGCCGTTTTAAATCCAGCTAATGGTCGTATTCCCCAAATCCAACGAGATCCTCCAACCAGTCCGAATACTCAACATAATATACCGCCTTGGATGTCTGTCAACGGCAGTAATGCAGCTTCGTCTCCGACTGGTTTCGGGACAAGCTTTTACAATGATTCTAGCGACAATGTTTCCGCTACCTCTCAACTTTCGCCTGCCTTTAGAGTAGGTTCTTCGCGACCTACGCAAGTGTCAAGTAATGAGTCTCCCGATGCAGCCTATTTTACGGATGATAGGCGACCCTCGGCGGCCAGCATAACTACAGCTAGCAGTCAGGGCTCCAAAAATAGTGGAAGTAGAGGGGGGTTTAAGAAATTACAGGGGTTCTTCGGCGAGGATTTCCCTGGGCGCGATTCATCCGAAACTAGCTTACCAGCGCCTCCACTCTCTCAAAATCAAAAAGATCAGCGCTCTTACTCTTTCACTCGACCGCGTCGCGGGAGGAACGATTCGAACGCTACCGATCACACTAGAGAGCCTTCACCCGCTTCCTCACGACCGCGCACGCCGGTGCCTTCAAGCGATGTAGTACCATTTTTATACCAAGAGGCCAATGATATCGCCAAATACGGCGAAGCTCCTGTTCGTGATATACTGACTGGACCGGACAGGGAGCGCTACACGGGAGAAAGTTTTACACAAATACCGCCGAAAACTTCGTCTTCCTCTCGCTCGGGACACTCAATTGTTCATTTATCTACCCACCGTCACCACAAGAGCATCGAAGATCCCAATCCTCTAATGCCTTTACGCCCGGTTGTCAGTCGCGAAGATTCGGTCTTAAACATGCAAACTATGAAGGAAAGGGGCGGTTCCGCAACGACTGCGCCGCGGTCCCGAGCCCAAAGTCCCACGCCAAGCAGCAATAGCAATGGCAGTAGACTCGCATCTATCGACGGCCAAACGTCTCCGGGGGCTCCCGGGAAACGGGGTATCTTTGATCGCCTGCGACGCCACAAGCATAAAGACGATTCTCAAGCATCCCGTTTAAAGAGCATGCCTGGCTCTTCTCGTTCACTCGTCACGTCATCATCCCGAATAGATTTATCTAAAGGGAGCCAGACGCCTTACGACAAGGCTCTTCCTACCACGGAAATCGGAACTCCTCACACGCGCCCAACCAACCCCCGTCAAGCGACCTTCAATAATAAATTCCCCTTCTCGAAGAAGGGCCGTCCACACAAGGCCTATGACGACCCCGACGAACATATCGGCCCAACCGATAGGAATGACAAGGGCAATGTATTCATTCTCGATACAAACCTGAACGATATGGAAGGTATATTAGCACAGCCCCTCCCTTTGACGCCCATGGAACCTTCGATGTTACTACCAGAGAACGAGCCTTTGGAGCCAACACAAGGCATAGGAACTGGGGCTTGGAATGCGCCAGACAGCTGGGCTGTCCGTCGTACCGCAGAAGAGAAAGAGCCTCCTGTTCCTGAAGTGGAAGAAGTTGGGCCTCAACCAAAGCCTGAGGAGAAGCAGAATCCGCACTGCATACGAGTGTTTCGCGCCGATGGCACCTTCGCTACTGTACAGATGCCACTGAACTCCACCGTTGCCGACGTTATGACTCAAGTTGTTAAGAAGACATTCGTCACTGAAGGTCTCGAAAACTACCATATCGTGTTGAGAAAGCATAATTTATCTCGAGTTTTATCCGCTCCGGAGAAGCCGCTGTTGATCCAGAAGCGGCTTCTTCAGCAAGTGGGATATGAGGAAAAAGATCGTCTTGAAGATATCGGCCGAGAAGACAATGGCTACTTATGCCGTTTCTTATTCCTGTCGGCGAGGGATAATCACTTCACAATGAGCCCGCAGGACTTAGGGCTCGGTAGGGCTACAAAGTTCAACCATGTTGACCTTTCAGGACGAAACCTCATCACAATTCCCATCACACTCTACTCTAAAACGGCCGACATCATTTCTTTAAACCTATCCAGGAATCTTTCTCTCGACCTCCCCCGGGACTTTATCCAAGCATGCCACCAGCTGCGTGATATCAAGTTCTCTAACAATGAAGCTCGAAAATTACCCATAAGCATCGGCAGGGCGAGTAGTCTGACATATCTTGATGTGTCGAACAATTGCCTTGAGGAGCTGGATCATGCTGGGCTGGGGCACCTTACCAAGTTGTTAAAGCTTAGCCTGGCAAATAATCGTCTGAACCACCTGCCCCAAGAGTTTGGAGCTTTCAAATCTCTTCGCTCTTTGAATTTATCTTCCAATTTTCTGGATAAATTCCCGGTTTTCTTGTGTAATCTGGAGACCTTGGTAGACGTCGACGTTAGTTTCAACTCAATCGCGTCTCTTCCAAACGAGCTCGGGAGGCTGCGAAGTCTTGAAAAGTTCGTCATAACTAATAACCGACTTTGTGGTTCCTTACCGCCCACGCTGAGTGAGCTTGTGAACCTCCGTGAGTTGGATATTAAATATAACGGGCTCACCGCGATCGATGTCGTGTCCGAACTTCCTAAACTAGAGATACTATCCGCGGATCACAACATGATTTCCCAGTTCGTTGGAAGCTTTGAGCGAGTCCGCAGCTTGAAGCTGAATTCTAACCCCATTACCAAGTTTGAAATCACGAGTCCTGTTCTAACCCTTAAGATGCTCAATTTGTCAAGTGCGCAACTTGCCAGCATCGACGGCTCGTTCAACAACATGGTCAACTTGGAGAGGCTTGTCCTGGACCGCAACTACTTCGTCTCGCTCCCCAATACCATTGGCAACTTGAGAAGGCTAGAACATTTTAGTATAGCCCACAATTCGGTTGGCGAGCTACCCCCAGAAATCGGGTGTTTAAACGAACTGAGAATACTGGATGTCAGAGGGAACAATATTAGGAAGTTGCCAATGGAATTATGGTGGGCGAACAAGCTGGAAACGCTTAATGCCTCCTCAAACGTGCTGGACAATTTCCCGAAGCCCGCTTCACGCCCGCCCCAGATGCCAGGGGATTCTTCAGGATCGCCTGCTCCTAGCAATAAGCCGTCCACCGGACTCCTATCTTCGACATCCAGCTCTGAAGATCTTATCGCTGATAAATCTCGTCAGCCAAGTCACTCATCGAGCACATTGCTGAGTGTCGGACCTTCACCCGTTCCTTCTTCGGACCGAAAGAATTCTGTTGTCTCAGTGTACGGAAAAGGCGGGCGGAAAACTTCGGTCCTTTCGCGAAGCACAACGGCCAGTAGCAGTGTTAATGGGTCCGTGACTCCTGCAGCGGGTTCGAGAAAAGATTCGGGACTTTCCAGCCGGTTAACTAACACTTTTGCCGGTTCATTGAGAAACCTATGTCTTGCTGATAACCAGCTTGATGACGAGGTGTTCGAGCAGATCACACTGTTGTCGGAACTGCGCGTCCTTAATTTATCCTACAACGACCTTAACGACATGCCACAACGGTGTATCAAGAATTGGCCCCAGCTCGTAGAGCTTTACCTGTCAGGCAATGACCTAACAAGCTTACCGGTCGATGATCTAGAAGAATACAGCTTGCTTCAGGTGCTTCACATTAACAACAACAAATTCACAAACCTCCCCGCAGATATTTCCCGCGCCAAAAAGCTGGCCGTGTTGGATTGCGGAAACAATTCTCTGAAGTACAATATTTCAAACGTGCCATACGACTGGAATTGGAATTTGAACCCAAATTTGCGATTCCTCAACTTGTCAGGAAACAAACGATTGGAAATCAAGCAGACAAATACCGGCCCAGGCCCACAGAATCGCGAGCAATATACCGACTTTAGTCGGTTGACGAACCTGCGTGTGCTCGGATTGATGGATGTCACCCTTACTCAACCAAGTATCCCAGATCAGAGCGAGGACCGCCGTGTCAGAACTTCGGGTTCATTAGCTGGCCACCTGCCATATGGTATGGCTGATACACTAGGTAGAAGCGAGCACCTATCGACCATTGATCTAGTCGTTCCAAGATTCAACTCGTCGGATTCAGAGACGCTCTTAGGCTTGTTTGACGGGCAAGCGTTGTCTAGCGGTGGCTCTAAGATCGCCAAGTACCTTCACGAGAATTTTGGACATATCTTCTCACTGGAGCTGAAGGCTTTGAAGACACGCCAAAACGAGACGCCCGTTGATGCGCTTAGACGTGCATTCCTTGCTCTAAATAAAGACCTTGTCACCGTGGCAAACGAGCACAGCGAAAAGAGACCGTTGATGTCGCATCGTGGCTCGTCGGCGTCGGTTGTCCTTAGCAAGGAAGACCTCAATTCTGGTGGGGTGGCCACAGTGGCGTATCTGCAAGGCCAAGAGTTGTACGTTGCCAACGTCGGCGATGCGCAAGCAATGCTCATTCAATCTGACGGCGTGCACAAAATCCTCACGCGGAAACATGACCCTGCGGAGCCGACTGAGCGTCAACGAATCCGTGATGCTGGAGGCTGGGTATCGCGCCAAGGGAAGTTGAATGATCTACTTGAAGTCTCTCGTGCCTTTGGTTATATTGACTTAATGCCGGCCGTACAAGCAGCACCCCATATTCTCCAAGTGCCGATCACGCCGCACGATGAAACAATATTAATCGCAACAAAAGAATTATGGCAGTATCTCACTCCTGGCCTAGTTGTTGACGTCACCCGGTCGGAGCGAGGTGACCTTATGCGCGCTGCTCACAAGCTACGAGATCTTGCTATAGCGTACGGTGCAACTGGGAAAATCATGGTCATGATGATCAGCGTATCTGATCTTAAGCGGCGCCAGGAACGGTCAGCTCGTTTACACAGAGGACAGAGCATGTCACTATATCCCTCCGGCGTACCAGACGATTTCCAGTATCCTATCAAGCGAGGCAGGAAGGCCAAAGGCGAGGTCCAAGACTCTACGCTGCATAGGCTCGAAGCTGAAGTTCCTGCTCCTACCGAGAAGCCGTCTATCGTTTTCACTGATATCAAGAATTCGACCAATTTGTGGGAAACGTATCCGTCTGCTATGAGGTCTGCTATAAAGGTTCACAACGAAATCATGCGACGACAACTCCGCAGGATCGGTGGCTACGAAGTCAAGACCGAAGGTGATGCCTTCATGGTCTCTTTCCCTACGGCCACCTCAGCACTCTTATGGTGTTTTGCCGTTCAAACACACCTACTGACGGCAGATTGGCCTTCGGAAATTTTAAACTCTGTTTCCTGCCAAGAGGTGTACGACAGTGACAACGTCCTTATTTTCAGAGGCCTATCGGTCAGAATGGGTATCCATTTTGGTGAACCAGTAGCCGAAATTGACCCTGTTACGCGCCGCATGGATTACTTCGGCCCGATGGTGAATAAAGCGTCCCGTATATCATCTGTAGCCGATGGGGGTCAGATTACCGTGTCCACTGATTTCATCTCCGAAATCCAACGCTGTCTCGAGACCTACCAGGAACATGAGCGAAATGGGGCTGCTGGTAATGGTGACACTTTCGACGATGATGCGACGTCTGCTGCAATTAGAAGGGAGCTGAAGTCACTAAGCTCACAAGGATTCGAAGTCAAGGATATGGGCGAGCGGAAGCTGAAAGGCTTAGAAAACCCCGAGGGTATTTACTCTCTCTATCCACACGCCCTTGCTGGTCGCATCGAATATCATAACAATGCCCAGACAACGGCAGATTCTACCGAGAAACCTGCCATACTTCAACCCGGAAGCGATCTTGGATTCGATCCGGATTTCATCTGGTCTCTGTGGAGAGTTAGTTTACGCCTAGAGATGCTTTGCAGTTCTCTAGAAGAGATGTCTAGCGGCGGCTTACAGCCTCCGGAGACCGAGCTACTGGAGCGTATGAAGCAACGTGGTGGTGAAATGACGGAACAATTCCTATTTAACTTCATGGAACATCAAGTGAGCCGCATAGAGGTAGGTGTCTCGAATCTGATTGTTATTTTTTTCTTGTACGGATTTACTAACTGGTTGCCACTAGACTTGCGTCTCGACACTCGCAATGCGACATATCGCCATGGGCAGCGGCCCGATAAGCTCGCTAGATGATCTCCGAACGCCCATGTCTGTCGTCCTCGACAATCTTGCCGCCCAGTTGGCAGAGCTTGAGCGATACAAGGCCAGATATGGCGATCTTACAAGCACCGAATGCGGGGACGAAAGTCTTGCTACCGACCAAGAGTCTGACGACTGATAACCTCTGTTTTTTACTATCCTGAAATATTGCCCCTCATCCCCTCATTTCCATATATTATATGACGCTAAGATCCGACCGGCTCACGTCTTTAACCGTACTGTTATCCGGCGTTCTTTTCCCTACGCAACTAAAGAGGGCTGCAAAGCTCCTACTTATATACAATACCTACCTTTTAATGTGCTATGACGAAGATATCTTTTATGACTGCTTCTAAGGGTGAGGCTGTTTGTCTACAAGTCATGTGCGGGTTGTTGACTGAGACGTGGGCAACAGCTTCCTGCGAGCAGCCAAAGACTCAAACGAAGAGACAGCTCTTAGCGTTTTAACGCTGACGAATCATTGAGAGGAGGACTTGCGAGAATGTGTGTTCTTTGAATATCCGAAAAAGAAAAAAAGAGAAAAAAAAAAGCAAAGAGAGGTTTAGGTTTAAATGTAAACCTCGTTGTCGTTATCGCTTGGGGGGCATGGCATTGGGATATTTTCCTTAACCGGTATAACAGGTAGCTGCGCTGTCGTTGTTACCTTGCAAACACTTGCGAGTAGGCGTTTCTAAGGAGGGATTCCAGGGGAGCAGGGAGAGAAACTGGAATATGAGAAAGAATCGGAAGGACCAATTCCCTCTTTTTTTAATATTTTCCCCCCATTCATTAATGGCGATCTGGTGCCGTGTTGACTCTCTCCACGCACCATTATAAAACACATAAAAACGGGGTACGTACGGCTGCTGGCTGGTGTCGTCTACCCGATATACTCGCGTCAATAAGAGAGGGCCGTCTCAAGTAGGCGGTAAGCGGACTGCCCATCGCTAGAAAGGGGGTTGGTTTGGCTTGCCCATTATCAGTGTACAAAACTGAGATGATACTATATTTAAGTTGTCTTCCTGAATTTTTGTGACACTGTGCAGGTTCAAGGCTGCTCTTGATATATGTCTACAACGGCAGGGGAGAGAGAGATAATGACATGTAAAACCATATAATCACATCACTATACCATACCATAACTATATAGGTACATATCTCTACCGTGTAGCTGGCTAAACATCTTCATCAAGAGTAGGTAGATAACTATATTCAAATCTACAAAAATACTACTTAATAACTACCTAGGTTGGTACGTTTCATTACGAAACTTGGATTATATTCATTCCAATTGTTCGGGGGCGTACACCTCAGCTAGAGTCGCGACCGAGAGATAAAAAAAAAATCACAGCTACGGCACCAAACTACAAGCAATTAAACTGGCATATAGCCGTGCCTTACACGTTTTTGAAAATTACGGTGACAAGGTTTGGTTGCAATTTGTCTTCTTCGTAGCGACGCGTCCAGGCGCCGGCCACAATGAAAACGATGAAGAAAGCAAAAATTGCGCCCGCTACGATCCACGAGGGATAATAGAAGAGGGTCAGCTCCGCGCTGTGCAATGCAGGCTTCTCCCCTTAAGAACCCTCATTCTTGAGCGAGGGTTCTTCGGACAAGGTAAGTATGAAGAAGAAAAGAAGAGAAAAAAAGGAAGAGGGAGAGATTCGAAGGAAGAATTAAATATTCATTTGGAAGTGGGGCAGCAGCAAGCAGCATCGAGAAGTACCTGGGTACCTAGGCAGCCTGCGGGTCAAAATTCAAATGGGTCCAGGGACCACCTGCACAGCTGCAGTGGGTTGCATAAAAGGTGGGGCGATAAGATAAGAGACTTGCAAGTTGCAACAAAAAAAAGGTAAAAAAGTAAAAAAGTTGAACAGTGAAAACTACCTAATATTTCCAATTACCTATCTACAACGTACGGCCATATGCGCCTAGGAATCTCGCAATGGCTGGTTCACAACTCAAAAGGCTAAAGGCTTCCTTGAGGGAGAAAGGTGTAATTGGCCCTCAATTATCAAAGAAACAGAAAAAAAAGAATGCGCAAGACGGGAAGGCAACCAGCAATCGAAGATATCAAAAGGCGGCAGACTTGGAGGGCATACGAGAAGAATTCAATCCATTCGACCTGAAGCACAATGCTCGCGGTCCCAAGTTTCAAGTAACCACAAATAGGCCAGCGCCCAACACTACCGCCAAAGGAAGGCCTACTGAGGCAAAGTCTCTCGGCGAGGAACGGGTGAGTCTAATTGCTAAACGAAAGCGACGTGCATTCAATGGCCAGCTAACAAATATTCACAGCGACGTCAAACCCTTCTTGTCGAACTTAATCGTCGCCATAAAGTAGGAGGTATACTCGATCGACGTTTCGGAGAGAATGATCCGCATATGGCACCCGAAGAGAAGATGCGGGAAAGATTCGTGAGGGAAAAGCAGCTTCATAAGAGCTCCGTTTTTGACCTTGAAGATGACGAACCCGCCGAAGGACTAACTCATCTTGGGAAATCATTATCGTTTGACGATTCTAACCTGGTGGATGACTTTGAGGAAGATGACATCTCGGCCGGGTCTGACGCAGCTGCCTCAGATGATGAACATCGTGGCTCGAAGCGTATGCGTCCCTTTGATAGCGAAGCCCAGGATGACGATGGTGAAGAAGGGCAGCCGGAAAGAAAAAAGTCGAAACAAGAGGTTATGAAAGAAGTTATTGCGAAGTCAAAATTCTATAAAGCCGAACGACAAGCAGTCAAAGAAGCCGACGAGGATCTACGCGAAGAACTCAATATGGAACTCCCAGTCCTCCGCGATCTATTATTCAGCACAAAAAAGGCACCAGAAAGCGCACCCGCCGACGAAGCAGAATCTGCAGCTGCTGGGAAAGAGAGAATGGAGCGTGATTACGATCTTCGACTGCGACAATTGGCACAGGATAGGAGAGCACAACCTACAGATCGTACGAAGACCGACGAGGAAAAGGTAGAGGAGGAGTCTAGAAGGCTTAGAGAACTCGAAGAGAAGAGACTTAAGAGAATGCGTGGAGAAGAAGTTAGCGATGACGAGAGTGAGGAAGACGTTGATAATGACAAGTCAAACGATCAACCAACAAATGGTCCGATTTTATTCACAGAAACGGAGGAAGATGACTTTGGACTCGGAAAGGGGATAAAAACCCAGCCAACGGCGACGGAACTCGGATTTGACGACGAAGACGATTTCTTTATCGAAGAGGACTTAATAGCCAGTGATTCGGACCTAGAGCCTATCGAAAATGACGCATCATCCGACGAAGAAGACGATGATGAGTTTACGAAAGGGCTATTAAACGACGAGGAAACGAAGAACCCGGTGTTTAGCGGTCAGCTCACAGGCTCTGCGGTATCAACTGACATTAAACAAGATTCGAATGGACTCCCCTATACATTTCCTTGTCCACAAACTCTGGAAGAGTTTATCAGTTTAACAGAAGGAATCTCTATACAGCATCTACCAACAGTCGTGCAAAGAATCAGAGCGTTATATCACCCAAAATTAGATAGCGGCAACAAACCGAAGCTCGCCAATTTTGTGGCAATTCTCGTTCAGTATCTAGCATACTCATCTAACCAGACAAAACTACCGCCATTTTCCATACTCGAAAGTCTTATTCGGCATATCCACTCCCTCGCGAAGTCTTTCCCAATCGAGACCGCAAACGAGTTTCGCTCGCAACTCGAAAACTTTGGCCGCTCACGGCCACTTACTCCGAACCTTGGCGACTTGGTGATTCTGACGGCAATCGGAACCACGTTTCCCACGTCGGATCACTTCCATCAAGTGGCAACCCCAGCTGGGCTACTCATCGCGCGAAATCTTGAGAGAGTCCCAAAACAAATTAGGGACTATGTTCAAGGAGTATATCTATCCACCTTGGCTCTTCAGTATCAGCAGGTTTCAAAGCGCTACGTACCCGAGTTAATGAATTTCTGCCTCAATGCGCTATGTGCCTTGGCACCAGAGAAAGCTGAAGAGACTCTGGGGCAATTTCCCGTTCATGATCCCATGCCAGGGATCCGCATTACCGATGCTCGATCGCTCGCAACCAGGAAGCTAACCCCCATGGATTGTATTAGAGAGGATCTTTCCGACGAGGAAGCCCTCTCAACCAAGCTCGCAATACTTACTACCACGATGAACTTATTGGATGCAGCGGCAGATCTCTACAGCGGAAAGTCTGCTTTCTTCGAAACCTTCGAACCAGTTAAGAATGCACTAGCTCATCTTGGTAGCAAGGCATGCAAAGCCAAGCTCCCGGCCGCTCTGAATGATCAGATAGAGAAGCTTAGATCAAAAGTAGATAGAATGCTGAGACTGGCCCACATGGCGCGACGGCCCTTGGAACTCCATCACCATCGACCCCTCCCCATCAAGTCAGCCATACCTAAATTCGAAGACTCGTTCGATCCTAACAAACACTACGACCCCGACCGCGACAGGGCCGAGCTATCCAAGCTGAAGGCGGAACACAAGAAGGAGCGCAAGGGAGCGATGAGAGAGCTGCGGAAGGATGCCAACTTCATGGCGCGCGAGCAGCTCAGGGTTAAGAAGGCCAAGGACGCGGCGTACGAGAAGAAGTACAAGAGGCTGGTGGCGGAGATCCAGGGCGAGGAAGGCAGGGAAGCGAACGCATACGAGAGGGAGAAACAGATGCGAAAACGGGCCGCGAAGAAAAAGTAATAGCGTGGCGATAAATATAAGGGGTAATAATAATGATGATAATAATATCATTATCATTATTGTTATTAATAGAACTTACCTACTACGATTATATTATCTCACATGTTTAGATTTACACCCATTCTAGGGTGAAAAGGAAGTACTGTTCAGTAATCAAAAAATAGAGCCGCCTCGGCTAAAATATTATTTAGGGGTTCGAGAAGAAGAAGAGAAAAAAAAATCGAAAAGCTGACGAGCCATCTAAGATCTCGCAGGGTATTGGTGGAATCTTCCAGCAATGTAAAGGAAATCAAGCACGTCAGCCAACTATTCCCATCACGCGTAGATTACGGATTAGGTGCACACCCCTGAGAAGCCATGTCCGTTGTGGATCAAGAGTGAGGTATCTACCTAACATAACATGAGGTATATTGGGGTGAGGTGAGGTAAGAAAGCTTATTCAAACTGCTTTGTGTATGATATATAGGTATACTTGGTTACTTAACTCTTGTAAGTTATGAGGGGGGCTCTTTGGGTATTGGGTATTATGGGTAAGTAGTTCAGGTAGTTCAGGTACCTGTTATTGGCTTTTATATCGAGAAACTGCTACGTCTGGTTTATTAGGCTCAATTCGTATGTGTTGTTATTCCTCGCGGCGGGGTTGAGATGTTAGTCGTGAGGTTATCCAGCTTTATACGACTATGCTAAGTAGGTAGACAGTAGAGCGAGAATGATACCCAGGTAGATTTGCATATTTGGTACTTCCCAATCTTTTCGATTGTTAAAATTTATAGTATATTCATAACTACGTTAGATGGAGTTGCCCCCCCTTAAGCCCCAACCAGGCGACATTTTATATCTTTTTATATACCACCTATACATGGCCCCCCGTCATGGTCTATGATAATATTCTGTTCGTCTTTTTTTTCGTATACCTACCCTCCTTTACCCCCTTGCGTACCAAGGCTCTGCCTTGATTGGGATATGATGGCTTTCTTGAGACTTGGGTTTCAAGAGTATCCGCCGCACTGAGCTCCAGTAGTCCCCGCTGTTCCTCCCGGTTGCGCTGGGCGGTGGGTGCAGTTGAACTATACAATACAACGCATTTTTGGCAGTGTCTAAGCTCTGATCTGTTTATTCGACCCGGAGTGTTTAGAGCACTTAATGCTTTAACGCCTTTGTCTCGTTACGCCACGCTTGTAAAGGTCTCCTTGGGTATACCATAGGGCATGTAACAACTGCCAGGTGGTTATATTCCCTTGTAGTAAGCTTTACGAGGATATGGTCCAATCTTTGGCGAAGTTCAAATATTCGTCCCGATAACCCAAATCCGCATATAGCATGTTTGGGCTTTTCGTGGCGGCCAAAATGTCTCTTGTTGTGAAGCTTCGATTCTTAACCGTTTCTTCCTGGTATTTGTCTATTGTAGAGGCGGGGGCAAGGAAGCCGGTGCTTTTGCATGCGTCGATGGAGACTCTCCATTGGAGAGGCTTGTTTGGTTCGTTCAGTGCTAGCTATCCCAATGGCCCGATAGAGTCCACGTTGGACTCCTAGTAGTTATAGTGCTCGAGCCAACGGTGCCAGTTAGCACGAAACAAATTTAGCGTCGACCGCTTGGGATAGGCGATCCAGAAGCTTGTCTCATGCTTTGATATTTCCGAAAGTCGGTATTCACGAATTGTGCTGGTTATTCAGTAAGCATGTATTTATTCTAGGTACGAAGCCACGGTTCTAGGAAGATCAGAGGTAACACAGATCGCTTACCTGTTGGTGGAGGCGTAGCTTGACAGGTCTGATACCTGAATTCCCTGCTTCGATGGCTCGGCCCATGCTGTCCTAAGTTTCTTCTCTTCTGTATCATGGCTAAAATCTGTTGTTGTTGTACATGGTTAAATCCAGCGAACCTCTCAAGTTCTGTCAAGACATCGTCTTCAAGAGAGGCGACCCACAATCGTCTCTGAGCTTCGTCGTTGTTATAAACTGGATTAGGTGAAGTAATGACATTTCGGTTCTGTGCTAATTGGTTATGGCGGTGCTGCGGTGCGAAGTTGTTTGTAACGAGCGAAGGATCTAACGGAATAGAGGGCACTGAAGGCGTTGAAGTTGCCGCCGACGTGAGAGACTGCATGCTAAACGGAACCGAGTGCCCGAGAGAATTATCTCCGACTTCCGTAGGGATGAAAGATTGTGCGAATTCGTTATTGATAGGAAAGGTATGTTCCGGTCGGCTAAACGAACTCATCCAACCCTCATACGCGTCGTGGGTGTAATTTGGGACCGATGAAGACAACGAGGGACTCGCTGCGGCCCATTGCGCCACGGAGGGAGGGACCTGGAGTGCCCCTGGAATAGGGCTACCCGAGGCCTGTCTATCTTGAAATGTCCACGATCCGGATCCATTGTATCCGTCTGTCTCATCGGACACCGAACTCATCGAATCCGTCTGAGAATCTGATTTCAGTATCTCGTCTAGCAATGCTAACTTCTGCTTGCGCTTCTCTCCTAAGGCTTGGCGTCAGCGAAGACGTTCGAACTACCACGTTCGTTGGCGAGCGTAACTTACGATATGCACGAGACGCGATTCGGTTCTGCTCTTTACGCACGTCACTATTTCTCTTCTTGGGTTGTTTGGTTCGGGCGGGAGAAGCGGGAGAAGTGTTCGTGCTAGCCATATCCATGGCGCCAGCAAAGATATAAACCCTCGTGAATATAACTAAACAAATTCGATCTTTTTTAATCTTTTAATCTTTTCTCTTTTCGAGCTTAAAGTTTACGAGAACTTCGATTTGATGTCTAAGCAAGGAATTGCGGGAATGAAGAGAGTTATTATTATATAAATTGGAGATAGGGGATTAGAGAGGTCTTGTTAGCTAAGTAGGTAAGTAAGGTAAGTTAAAACTTGGGATACGACCAGCCCTATCACGATTAGTTTTCTGGGGTTTGAGGCAGTAAAGTACCATTGGTGCCGTACCGATGGTACCAAGGATACGAATGTAGAGTTTTATATCTGTTCACCAAACCCGTCTTAATTCCACACACGAATTGGCTTCTCTATTTGGGGTAACAAGCTATGTACCTTTTTTTATTACTACCTAGTACTTACACCCGTGGATCTAATGGAGGTAGGTAAGGACGAAAAAGCTTGCGATGTGGACCGCCTTGTCAAAATTTTGGATCCTGTGGATTGATAGGTCTAACCAGATCTACTAGGTATAAGTTGACTACCTGGTAAGTATGGGTTTAAACTACTAGAGAGAGGTAGGTAATGCCTGGTATGTCAGGCATAGGGGCACACTATTATCAGCAATATCGTCTGTCATCTTGCTGGCTCGATGCAATTCCTTCGCGTAAGCCGATTGAAAAAAAAAAAAAAAATTTACGAACGGCCATTAAATTGGCTCACTTTCAAAGTCCATCGTGAATATTCATACCTACCTGTCACATTGTTTTTTTTTTTTTTTTTTTTTTTTTTTCTCGAGGCGCGATTTAGATGGCTCGACAGCACGCAAGGCTGAAAATAGAACATACCCCGGGATCTTCAAGGGCCAGGGTTGTCCTGGGTCTTAAACGAGCCCTATAATTGGTTACCCTTAGTCATCGTGTTACCAAGCAGCGACTTATGCACTTAATGTACCTAGCCTATGTAGTGTAACCCAGACATATTCCAGGGTTCTAGCCAATAGAGCGTAAGCATCGATTATTTCGAGAAGCCTAATTCGGTAGCTTTCGCTCACCTCAGCACCTACTTATGCACCGCTATGTCTATCTATGATTAGTATGATATGCCTCATGTGGTCAGGTTTTCTTTTACAGTGCTATTTATTAATGGTATAATGGTAATATCGATGATCACAGCGTCCTGCCTTGTAGGGCTTGCTATAATTCGGCTGGAACCTTTTAGGACTTGACTAACTTACCTAAACGATATAAACGATGAGCACTTTAGGGAATATTTATTCCTAAGAGTTTTGCCATGGTGTTCAAAGCATCAAACAACTAGTACCATAGCAGGTATCAATAGTTGCTAAAAAGACTAAAATTAGATATAGTCTTAGCTTCATCTACACTAGACAAGTGAACCGCCGGTTTAGTTAGCGTATGCGGGTGTACAGTGTAGTATACTATAGTAAGAAATAGGCTCAAAACCTTAAAAAGGCTTTGAAAATATTTTACCGCCTTCAGTAGTTTCTCAGAGACAACCCCTTCTAATTACCTAATTCATTTACGATCGAAGCATGTGCATGTGATAAATAGTAGCCCCATGAGATTTTAGTTCTTGTGGATGCCGTATTATCCTGCAAATATAGCCAGTATCTAACCTAATGAAGCAAGTGTTTAACTGTTTCTCTCTATTAATGGACTGACTATCTGCCTAGGTACCTATGCAACCGGAGCTGAGCAACGGGAATGTAAGTTCCAGGCGGTCAGGGGTCGCGGCCCACTTACGCCCGCCCGCCGAAACCCGCTAGGATTCATCAGCTACCCAGCCCTATTCTATTCCTGCCGTGTGCCGTCTGTCCTGCCGTCGCGGATACATACCTAACCTACCTCACTACGTACACTACTAATCACTAAGACCCTCCCTCCCCTCAACCATGACGACATACAGTACTTCTATCTAGATTTAGTTATCTCCTTAAGCTCCAAAGATCAACATCTTAAGAAGGACAAGTATTTATATATCATTTACATCACATGGACTTAAGGCCATGATTGGAAGGTGTCGAGTTCAGAACCAATCAGCCAGGTCCCTCGAGGCATTGATGCTAAAGTACATGAGAGTATACGGACAGAAAGCCTATGAACTTTGACCTGGATATTGTTATCTTCGGCGGTATTCAAAGAGAATTTGCTCCTGTCGTCTTGATGGAATCACAGACACCCAATCTGGCATCGTGGATAGACTATCTCAGCTGACATGGTTCCCAACCACGCAAGTTTAATACTAGATTCGGTAGAGCTAGGAGACGGTGACTTGTCATCTTACTCCTACCCTGTCAGGTATGCCTAGAAAACAAGGCGTCCTGAGGTAAAATGCAATACCAATACCCCTTTATACATAGTTGATATATAGGCGAGCATCTGCTAAGTTATTTTTCTTAACCTTTATTTTATTTTAATCTTTTTACGAAAGCACCCACAGCACCCATATGCTTCAGTCGACTCTTATGCTTAAGAACTTGATAGAAGGAAAGGCTGCGAGTTTTCTAAAGGTATAACCACACCGAACGAGGTGATCACGAGGGGCAGGTATTACGACTTCGGTGAAGACGTTTTCTTGTCTCACCATTCCGGATTCGAAGCGTTGCGGTTCCGATCACAATACGCATAGCGAAGAAATTTGCCTTAAATCCAGGAGCCAATCAAGATTGATTGATATTTATTCATGCCTTGATGGATGTGCAAAGCCTACCTAAAGTTAGGTAGCCACCTAATAATGGTAAGGCTATGGAAACTTGAAAGACGATGCCTTGGAAGTATCTGGCGGCATAAAGATGACGAAGTCGGTCTCGTGGTTCGTCATGTCCTCGTCAGCCCATATTCCAGCATACCTAACTTTGTAGATAACTTGCTTAAAAAGCCCGGTTACGTCTAAGCTATAACCAGTGCGTCCTCATAGCTTACGTGTTATAGATTTAGGTGCCTGTTATACAGATAGAAAAAAGGTGTATACTTTACTATAAAAAAGAAATAAGTAAAATTTACCTACGTTTAGCCAAGAAATTTCGACCTAAGGTTAGGTAACGGAAGCCTTCAGTACAGTGGCATTGAGAAAGTGCAACGGAGTCTGTGTAACCCCCTCCACCATGCATGCAGCACAAACCAAATTGAAAGCCGAAAAGAGAAAGTCTGTGGGTCCGAGGTGAGGTAGCCCCAAGTATACTTGAGGCTGAGTTGTCATAAATCTCACCCAATTTATAGAGATAACTCCTCACCCCAGCCTCAATTCTACTAGATAGTACTTTAAGTTGAAGCCACGATTCTATCAGATTCTACGAAGATACGGTGGCGCGCTAGAGGGGAGAAAATCTCAGCCTTGACCTGCACGCGAAAGTTGCGGTTGGTACCGTGCAAAAGAGAAAGACGGAGTACATAGTAGAAAAAGAATGAGCTGGGGGGGTTTTCTGAAAAAAGTGCTTGCTAATCGGTAGTTGAATTGTTGTGGTTATCTCACCAAATATTCTCTGTATCCCATCGCTGTTTTTTTCTTCTTTTTCTTTTTCTTCTCTTCTATCTTTTTTTCTATCCTCGTCTATAAAGTTAAGTATCTAAGGTATTGATTGATTTATTGGTTCCAGGTTTGTGGAACGTTGGGAAGATTTGCGATAAGGTTAGGTAGGTGCGCTTCTATCGTTGCAAGACCAGAGCGCCAGAGCCTTCTCGAATCGGAGCCTACATACCTAGTACTTTCAGCAGGAACGCAGCCAGAACCTTCCAGCAACTCCGACTTTTAAGTACCTACATCCAGAAAGCAATCCACCAATTCATCAATCCCACCAATCCCACCCAATCTTGTACACCACAAGTCAATCCTGTGCCAAACCAAAACCAAAGCAAATCCACACCACACAGCATTCACCAATCTATCTATCAACCTTCATCTACTCCCACTTTGTTTTCTTTTACTTCTTATACTTGAGTAAGTTTCTTCAAGTCCTTGTCAAATCTGAACCACCTAGATAATTCCTTTCTACGACCTCTCTCCATTCAAAAAACTTGTGACCAACTTGTTTCCGCGCATTTGTGGGGCGCTATCTGAACTGTTTTTTTCTTTTAAACCTCGTCGCATCTCTACTACCATTACAAATACAAGCTCTGCAAACATTTTTACTTAAGAAAAATAAGAATCCAAAGCCTGAAGTCACATTTTTAAACTAACATTGATTGATATCTCAAGAGTCTCTACCTAATAAAATCCGTTACCAGTCGCTTGCGGATCCTACTCTCAAAACCTTTCCCGTCTGACCTACAACTCGGACGACAAGATGGTCAAGGAAACAAAGCTCTACGATGCCCTTGGCGTAAGTCTCACTTTTCTGTGCACAATATATGCATGCATACTCGACATGTAAAAGGAGGTCATACTAATCTTCTTTGTTTTCAGGTATCGCCAACCGCCACAGATGCAGAATTAAAGAAGGCATACAAGACGGGAGCATTGAAATGGCACCCTGGTAAGTTCCTGTCTGTACTCGTTGAACTGAACATGTTACGAATTATATCATGATATTAATACTAGCCCTCCAGATAAGAATGCACACAACCCCGCAGCCGAAGAAAAGTTCAAAGAAATTTCACACGCTTACGAAATTCTATCCGATGCCCAGAAGCGTCAAATCTACGACCAATATGGTGAAGCCGGTCTCGAGGGAGGTGCCGGAGGCGGCGGCATGGCTGCCGAGGATCTCTTCGCCCAGTTCTTCGGTTCGACCGGCTTCGGCGGCGGTCTTGGCGGTATGTTCGGCGGCGGGATGGGCGGCGCATCTCGTGGTCCTCCTAAAGCGCGAACTATTCATCACACGCACAAAGTATCCCTGGAAGACATCTACCGGGGTAAGATCTCTAAGCTAGCCTTACAACGGTCCGTCATCTGCCCCAAGTGCGAAGGCCGTGGTGGTAAGGAAGGTGCTGTTCGACGTTGCCCTGGCTGTGACGGTCACGGTATGAAGACTATGATGCGACAAATGGGCCCAATGATTCAACGTTTCCAAACCGTCTGCCCCGATTGCAACGGAGAGGGCGAGATCATCAAGGAGAAGGACCGCTGCAAGTCTTGCAACGGAAAGAAGACCATCGTCGACAGGAAAGTACTCCACGTTCACGTTGATCGTGGTGTCCGAAGCGGTACGAAAGTCGAGTTCAGGGGTGAGGGTGACCAAGCCCCTGGCGTCCAGGCTGGAGATGTTGTCTTTGAGATCGAACAGAAGCCGCACCCTCGGTTCACCCGGAAGGAAGACGACCTCCTCTACCGCGCCGAGATTGAGCTTGTTACAGCGCTAGCTGGCGGTACAATCTACATCGAGCATCTAGATGAGAGATGGTTAAGTGTTGAGATCTTACCCGGCGAGGCTATCGCACCAGGTATGTACATTTCCATTATTTATTTATCACTTGAACTTGATACTAATAGATTCTTCAGACGCTGTCAAGATGTTACGAGGACAGGGTATGCCTTCCCCTAGGCACCACGACTTCGGCAACATGTACATACAGTTCGCCGTGAAGTTCCCAGAGAAGAACTGGACAGAAGATCCTGCTGCCTTTGAAGGTTTACGCAATATCCTTCCCGCTCCAACCTTCCAGAACATCCCGCCTCCGGATGCTATGACGGACAGCGTTGAACTGGAAGACCTGGATCACCAAGGACAAGCCCGAGCATTCGGTGGTGGTGCAGGAGGTATGGAAGAGGACGATGAAGACGGCCATCCTCACGCTGAACGTGTGCAATGCGCGTCCCAATAGACGGACAGTCTGCCTAATAAGGGGGTTTTATTGAATCGGGTTACGGGGTAGTAGGTACTGCATAGTCTATCGTGCCTCGCATAATTTGCCCATACTCTTATACCTTCAGGAATCCGTTTGCGGTTGAGTTGGTTGAGAGGGAGAGCTTATTTACGGCGTAGCGTTTCGACGGTTTGAGGACACGAATGTTTTGCATGTTCAGGGCGAGCGCGGAGGGAAGGAGTCTGCTATACGGTTGATATGAACAACGGGTCCGCTATTATGATAGGAGGGCATAGTTCACTTTTCTCTGCAGCTCTCCTTTTTTCTTTTATTATGACATGGAGCAACATGCCGTACAGTGGTGCTCTTGTGAAATTGGCGTTCGAAGGACATAGAGGAATTAGGACAGATGTTGCTTTATACATGATGGCAATTCCGGTATTGATTGCATTGAGAACAGTTTGGTTCAGCTAAAGCGATGCAGTGCTGATTTATTCGTGACATTCTGTGCTGACGTTGCTTTATTACCGTATGTACTATAAGTTGGTACGATTTTAACTTTTGTATTAACCTATGTGCTACTACACCCCAGAATTTATAGACATCTAAAACCTACTGCGTATCTCACGTACATGATGGATAGATACCTGATTTAGGGCACGGCGGAACCTCCTTCGGCCTCGTCCGCAAACTCGTTCTTGCGTAGGTTCTCGACTGTGTACAGGATAGATTCCAGCTCTTTACGCGAGACATGTAAATTTCCGTCGGCGACGTCCTGGATGTTGCCTTTCTGGACCCAGTTTCCTGCCTTGTCTCGCTCGTACAGGAGGAGAGATGAGGTGGTGGTGTCTTCTTCCTCTGCTTGCGTCGGGGCATCGCCAGTAGTAGTAGTAGGAGCAGTAGTGGCAGCATCAGGCTGATGGGGATCAGTTGCTACGATTAACCTAGGGGAGCCTTCTGGTCTGGTGACGACGAGGGCGTTTAGGGGGTTGCCTTGTAAACGTAGCGTCTGTACGTGCTGGAGGGATGTATCGGGTAGAAGCTGGAAGATGAAGACTGCCGGAACTCTATTATATAATTAATTTAATGTATTGTTATTAGAGACAAGCCTGCAAAGGTAAAATTTAAGGCTGCTTAAAAAAAAAAAAAAAAAAAAAACAGGGGGAGAGAGAGACAGAGAAAGGGAAAGTGGAAGAAAGGGATCTTACCGTTCGCAAACGGCCAACACGTAGCACTTCCCATCCGCATCGTACGAGAGCAGCTGGGATACGGCGACCTGGTCCGCACTCGAGACCCCCACCACCTCCTTAGCACGGCGCAGGATATCCGCCTTGCCAACCAGCCGCCCGGCCTCCCACTCCCAGACGAACAGCTCGTCGTCCCCGCCGGCGGAAACCAGGACCTCGGGGCGGGACGCGGGCACGCAGAGGGCGCCGAGGAAGGCCTCGTGGCCCAGGCAGTACGTCTCGACGACGTGGTACTGGGCGGGCGCGCCGCGCGACACCCGGATGTGCTCGTCGCGGTCCGCCGTGATGACGTACGGCTTGCCGTTGCCATTACCGCCGGTTCCGGTCGCGAGCGCGAGCGCCGTGAGCATGGATACGTGGCCTAGGACGGGCTCGTACTTGGGCTCCTCCTCTTTGGTGCTAGCGGAGGCGGATTGGGCAGCGGCTTGCCGGCTGGCTAGGATGCGCTCTTGCTCTTCGAGGGCGCGCAGGTTGCGCTGCGAGTGCACCGTTAGCCGGTTCGCGGCCAGCTTGAAAGACGGGGCTGCTGCGGCTGTCGTTGCGCTCGACGGCGAGGCGCTGGTGGTGCTGGTCGCCTCGGGGGACGTGGCGCTGGGGATGAGAGGGAGCGCGTAGACGTCCCCGAATTTATCGGCGGATAAGATGGTGTTTCCATCCGGGGTGATGGCGATGGAGCTGGGTCGCTTCGGCATGACTCTGCGTATTTGATAAGCCTCCTTTCCTAATATAAGATATTCAGATAGAATTTTCCTTCCTACCTTTGACTTATATCCTTTAAAACACCCTTTCCGTCGTGCTCAAGTACCCAGAGAGTCTTGTCTTGGCCGGTCACGGCGACTAGATACCTCCCGTCTTCCGTTGCTTCCATGAGAGACACAAAGGGTATCTCGGGTCCCTGAACACGGGACTCGGGTTTTTGCTTCTTTTTCCCGTTCCCGTTGCCATTCTCGCTGCCGTTGCCGTTGCCGTTTGCCGCCGCTTCCACTGTTCCCGCGTCAGCTTGACTAGTACGCTCCTCAGCGCCGGGCTTGTTGTCTGCATTCAGCTTGCGCTTTTTCGAAGGGCGCTGCTGACCGCTCTCTTGCTCGTCATCATCAAGGCCTTGACCTGCTTGACCTTCTTGGCCTTCTCCTCGACCCGCCGTCTCTTGCGATTCCCCATTGCTAGAGGGTTTCTTCGCGAGAGGCCGAGTCCACGACGAAAGGAATGAGTTGCCGGCATCTAGGTCGAATGTGTGGATGCTGGCGCCTTTTGCGGCGCAGAGGATGGAGCTTTGCCCAAGTCTGCTTAGATATTGGTACGGCAAGTTCATGGTGTTGTAATGTGTTCTTTATACCACCGAACCGAACTGCTTCCAATGGCCGTATACGCCCAGCAAATCCTTCTCGGAGATATATTTACTGTAAATCGTAAATCTCACGGATTTCTCCTTTAGAATTACCTTTGAATACAATTACTTGATTTGACAATTGAGGTAACTTGTAATTTATATAAGCTCACTTTAGGTAGATTGAGCCTTCAAGATTGTTTAAGTTGAAAATTCAGGTATATGGTATATACCGCCTATTGCACAATTGAAGTAAAGCTTTCGTTTTTGTGAATGATATGCATCTATGCAAATTCCTGCCATCTGCCAGCTCTGTCAACTCTGCCTCAATTGGCGTTTCAGCCTCTATTTAGTGGCGCAGCTTATGCATTCTATGCCGTTTAGCGTCCCGCGCAAGTCCTATCATCTTTATCCGTTGTCTTACACATCTCTCGATAGCTCCTCCGAAGGAACAGTTCAACACCAATTGCACATTTAACAATATATTCATAAGTCAGGACTTTGAGCCAATACTCACCAACTTTTTTTTTTTTTTTTTTTTTTTATGTTCTGCTTCTTTCTTACCACTATTTTTATTTTTCGCTAAGTTAGAAAAAATATCAAGTTTATTTCACAGATATTGACAAGCACTTTGAACACGATATAAATCCGTGCATAGAACCACTTCGCCCGGGAGGACGTCCTCGCAAAAGTCGCATAGTTTGAATCTTCGCCCACCATGGCGCAACTCTTCCTTGACCTCGTATATTCGTTCGGCAACTGCCTAAATTGCTTCCCCGGATCGCCGACCCTTAAGATTAACAGCCGGTCGTTCAAGATACTACGCCTGCTAGGCGAAGGCGGCTTCAGCTACGTCTATCTCGTGCAAGACACGGCGACGGCGGAGCTCTTCGCGCTCAAGAAGATCCGATGTCCGTTCGGCGCCGAGTCGGTCCAGCAAGCGATGCGAGAGGTCGAGGCCTACAAGACGTTTTCCCACACGCCTAACATCATCCACAGCGTCGATTATTCCATCGCGAACGAGCGGAACGACGCGGACGCCAAGACGGTATACGTGCTGCTGCCGTATTACAGACGGGGAAACCTACAAGATATTATCAATGCAAACCTAGTAAACCACACCAGGTTCCCCGAGAAGGAACTCATGCGCCTATTCCTGGGCGTGTGCCAAGCTCTCAGAGACATGCACCAATACCGGGGGCCGGCAGGCGGGGAACGCATGGTGGCCGGCAACGATCAAGCCGGCGAAGAAGACGGAGGGGGCCGAAAAGGGAAGGGAAGGCGAAATAAGGCTGTTGCGGCGGCGGATGTGGATGATGAGACGGAGCAGGCACGGCCGTTAATGGTAAACGAAGAGACAGTAGCGCCTGGTGAGCGGAGATCTTATGCGCATAGAGATATCAAGCCAGGTAAGGCCACCGCGAATAATACCTACCCTACCCTACCCTACCTTACTTCCTACTTCCTACCTAAGGTACTGAAGAACTATACGTACTAATTGGGTATTGAAGGTAACATCATGATTGACGACTCGGGCTCGCAACCTATCATCATGGATCTGGGCTCTATATCGGAATCGCCAATACCTATCACGTCGCGCTCGCTTGCTATCGCTCAACAGGACATAGCCGCGGAGCACAGCACGATGCCTTACCGAGCACCTGAACTCTTCGATGTGAAGACAGGGACGGTTATCGACACCAAAGTTGATATTTGGTCGCTAGGTTGCACCTTGTACGCATGTTTAGTAGGCAAATCGCCCTTCGAGATGCGCAGCGACGAGACAGGCGGTAGCCTTAGCATGTGCGTGCTAGGAGGCGATTGGCGATTCCCAGACGAAGGTCCAAAGGGCCAGAAGAAAGTAAAAGCGTCGACTAGCACGGGCCTCGAGGAGGGCGTTATCAGCGAACCGATTAAGGAAGTCGTAAGGAAATGCTTGAAAGTCGAGCCGAGCGAACGACCGGATATCGAGGAGTTAATAAGTATAGTGGAAGAAGTTATTGACGAGCTACCTGAGGATGATGCATAGATGATGAGATAACGAGGTTTGAGGGGGGTAGGCTTTTCAGTTTTGTGTATATTGTATAACTATTAACCTTCTATGTTAGGTGACCAGGGACAGGTCATGGTTTTTTTTATTATGATATTAACGGCGCTGCTTCGAGAGCGAATAGGTTTACGCGGGTATACCCTCGACTTTATCACTTTTTATCAATTTTACTTGGTTGGAAATTGGAGTAAGGGGCTCTTTTGCCTTTGGCCTCTGAGCTTAAAAGAGACTCTCAGAGGAATGACATGGCATCCATTATTTTGGTGCATGTTTATTCTCCCTTGTCATAATCAACAGCCGAATTATTCAATATTGATATATGCGAATCATGTGGCGTTTGTGGCGGTGGTGGCTTCCATTCATACATATATCTTTAAAGTTGCCTCACATCTCGAGCAGCAACCTCTTGCTTCATTGGTTGACGTTACCTTCAACTTATTAAACTGCCTACCTACCTGGATATCTGCACTTAATAAGTTTATTATTATTCAAACAAATATGCACTTCTAAAACAGGTCGGTGTACGTTACTAGATACTTTGTACTTTACGACTTACAAAGTTACAACCCTATCCACTAAAAACAAGTCCGCACTTACACGACTTTTAAACTCTTATTATAACATGGCATCTCTAAATAATAATTCTTCGGTGGTAGAGGAAGAAGAGGAAGAAGATGACTACATGAACATGACCTTCGGCGAAGAGGAGCCCAAAACAGAAACCTCTCTGCAGCGGCGGCAGCGGCTCAAGCGCGAAGGCGAGATCAAGGGGCGCGTCAAGTCGAAAGCCGAGCAGGCGGCGGCCGAGCGCGAGGAGCGCGAGAAGGCGCTCAGCCAATCGCTGCTGGACAGCGCGCGGGCCAAGAAGAGCAAGGGCTTCGCGATGATGGCCAAAATGGGATTCCAGCCGGGCGTCGCGCTGGGGAGCGCCGACGCCGCCGCGCACGCCCGGCTCGAGCCCATCCGCCCGCAGGTGAAGGAGGACCGCGGCGGGATAGGCCTGGACTCGGACCGCAAGCGCGCGCTCGGCGAGGCGGCGGCCCGGACCGAGAAGAGGCGGAAGGTCGACGAGACGGAGTTCCGGGACCGCGTGCGCAGGGAGCGCGAGCAGGCGAGGTTGGAGAGGCAGGTTTATGCCGCGATGAAAGTGTGCGAACGCATGGATGAGGAAGAGCAAGGGGGTGGTGATGGTAATGATGATGTCAAGACGAACGGCAGCGACGCAAATCAGGAATCAACATCAACAACAACGACGGAGAATGAGAAGAAAAATAAGAAGAGGAAGAGGACAATATCTACGCGACCCCTAAAGTCCATCCCGGTCGTCTGGCGAGGTCTAATCCGGAACCGGGAGGAAGCCGAGCGGGACCGCCGGATGCGGCACGACCTAGAGCAGAGCTCGACGCGGCTCCCAACGTACGTGGACGACCTGGAGGACGAGGACGACAAGACGGCGCTGGGGAAGACGGCGGCGGCGTACGTCCCCGTCGAGGACCTTGAGGAGGAAGACGCGGAGCTGGAAGAGTTCAACGCGCTCGAGGTCCAGGAGAGGCTGGAGAGGCTGGTGGAGTACCTGAGGAGGCGGTATAATTACTGCTTCTGGTGCAAATGCGCTTACCCGGACGACGCGATGGAGGGCTGTCCGGGCCTGACGGAGGAGGATCACGATTGATTGATTGATTGGATGATGATATATATTAGGTACCTACCCGCCTAACGCATTGGCATAGTATAGATCTGACTACGGGCTATGTCACTAATAGGTAATTAAGGCCTCCCAACTGTCCCATCTCTGGTCAGATTTTGCCCAGATCGTATAGTCGAATCCACGCCATGTGGCATCAGGAGGATATTAAATACGGATGCCGACGATCCTTCAGGAAGAAAGAAAAGGTGATCTTTAAGTTCTAAGTGAGTTTGCAATGCTAGTCACAATAACTACTGCTAAAACCAAACTTGGGGCTCATCACTCGGCACATATCACACTAACAATGTACCTAACTATCCGAGAAAGGGGCACACGGCTTCTACCCGGTGCATTATTCTCCTAGGCCTGCAGCTAACTTTACCGTGAAGTCGAGGCCCGAGAGAATCGACCTTAGGTTAGTTAATAATCAAGCCTTATTTTTCAACCCCAGCACCGTATTAGTATGAGTGATTTTTCATGTACAAGGTAGTAAAAACAGAGATACTACCTAATGTAAGCCATGTCCTGAAAACAATAACCACGAAATAGTAGTAGATAGGTAGTCTTTTGTCAGATCATGAGCAAAAACGGCGCAACTTTCCTCCTTAGATCAAATCCATACGTATCCCAACCGAGGTCTTTCAAGGGCTTGTCGAGCTTTCGGTTCGGTTGGTTGTCCCCGTTTAATTTCCGAAACTCCCTAAGTTACAAAAAAAAGCCTTACGATTTTGTTTGAACCCAATGGGATGGGAACCACCGTGAGCGGCCAATGAGGAGGACAGGGCGACCGCCTTATGCTTCCGGACGCTCCGTGATGGCTTCTCGGGAATAAACCCTCTCCTCCACACCGATATCCTCGTTCCTGAAAGTTTTATAATACTCGTATTAGCTAGCTCTCTCTTCCCTAGGTATCTATCCATCTGTTCCGTATTTTTTTTTTCACACAAAGAAAAAGGAAAAGAAAAGAAAAGGAGAAGAGAAAAGGAGAACAACAAAGCAATGATAGAATAACCTTACCACACCTCAGGCTTCTCCCTGATAAACCTCTCCATCAACTCCTTGCACTCGGGCGAGTCGAGGACCACGACCTCGACGCCGCGGCGCTTGAGGTACGCCTCGCCGCCCAGGAACGTGGTGTTCTCGCCGACGACGACGCGCGATATGCCGTATAGGATGCAAGCGCCGGTGCCTGGGATAGAGGTAGTTTAGTTTACACGAAAACCCCCCTCATCTTCAGCAAAGATTTTCAAAGAAGCCCAAGGGGCGGTATGTGTGATGTAATGGCACTGGTGGGTACTTACACATATCGCACGGCGAAAGCGTCGTGTACATCGTGCTCCCCTTATACGCCGACGACGGCAGCCGGCCCGCGTTCTGGAGACAGGAAGTTTCGCCCTAAAAAAAACATGTCAATAAAATCGCTTGGATAAAAGGTACCTAACCTTAGGGCAGGCGTAGGTATATATATATAAAGTTTACTTACATGGAGAATCGGATTCCCATTCTGAACCCTCATGTTATGCCCCCGACCCAGTACTCTGCCGTCAGCAGCCACCAGCGCCGCGCCGATCTAATTATTCTCGCCAGTAAGTAAGTAAGCAAAAGCAGAAGCAAAAGCAGAAGCATCCCGCTGTCGAGTCCAAGTCACCTACGTACCGGAACTCCACCTTCTTGGTATCCTATCCTAGCTTCTTCGAGAGCCAACGCGAGGCCCTTTGCGTCGTCCATTTTTTCTTCTTTTTCGTTTTCTTTTTCTTCCTCAACTTGTTAGTTGTAAGTTGTTTTGCTTTCAAGGGTGTTAGATTATAGTAAATCAAGAAATGAATGTTATAACTACCAGGTACCTAAGAGGTATGTATGTACTATGTAATAAGTCTTCAACTTATATAAAACAAGAAATTGGTGTTTTGTTAGTTTAGCTAGTTACCTATTAGGTAGAAGCTTGATATCAAATACGTAACTAAATTTTAGAGATAAGCGGGCATCTCCGCCTCCGCCTCCGCCTCCGCTTCATGATTATCGCCATGAATCTAATCTAATAAGAGCCTACGCGATAGTCTAGGGCCAACTTCTTAGGTATCTTGATATATATCACATTTGTTGCTAATAAGTACCTATAATAGGAACGAAACTATACCCAACGTATCCATAGGCTAAGCCAAATAACATGATACATGATAGAGATGCACGTCGAAGGCACACATAACGTATGGGCAACGCATTCCACATCAGGAAGATGAGAACATTATATTAGGACTTATATTTCCTGTAAATTAATTTTGGTAAAAACTACTGGTCTGTGAAGTGATTCCACAGCCTTTTGGGCCCCCCGCCTCTAATCCCTAGGTCGCCTTCCCTCGATTTACGCTCGGAAAGGTATTAGACAACTAAAATTCCAACCGTTGAAAACAATTAACTGTTGTACAGCCGTTCGAAAGCTGACGGCGGCAACGAATCCCCCTTCTCAAAAACCCTGACCAATATCCTTCTATCAATCAACCTTGGCGCCGCCTTTTGGTATATGCCTCTACACTATACAACCGAGCCTGAGCAACGCCGAACTAGAGGAAAGAAACTTCCTATGCGAATAAATCACAAACACTGAAACATTGCTTCAGCAATTTCCGACTATTATGACAGAAGATTGCGCAAAGACGCGTTGGCGCTGGCCCCGCTCGCAGGGCGACTGTCGTTAGATCGTGGAGGTACATTGTTGCTTAAACTTGATTCGCGACTCATCGAGATCCCCTCCCGGGAGATCGGGGGGCTTACATGAGGATTTAAGAATGGTGATCGTGATGATCCAAGTAAGCCTTGGGAGAACGCATGTTCGGAGGTGCGGGGCGGAGGGCTGCCATTTGTGAGGCCGTGGAGCGGGTTATGGTTATGGTTATGCGCCGAGTGATAAGATGGCATGTAGGGAGCAGCGCTATTCTGGATGGAGCCGGGACCGCGCCGAGGCGGAGAGGGAGGGACTCCGTTTACTATAGGTTGCCCAAGCCCATGCTGAAGCGGTGGTCCTTGGTGATGGGACATAGGCGCTATCGGCGGTGGCCGGAGGTCACGGAGGTGATTATGATGAATCGGGCTTGGTACACTAGAGCCGCCATTTATTTGGTGAATGGAAGGCGGATGCTGGGGCGGGCTACGATGCCAATCCCCGTAAGGAGCGCTGGGAGGAGGGTAATGGTGTGCGGGCACTGGCGGACCACCTGGAGCCGCCATCGGACTCGTTCCAGCGTGGGGGGCGTGGGGAGCGGTCAGCGGTAAGGGTGGAGGAACAGCTGCAGATAGAGGAGGATGTAGCGGTGGCGCAGCAATCGCCGGGGCAACCGTAGGCGTCGTCCCTTGCGCCGTAGGACCTCGTGGCCCCCATGAATTTCCCAGGTCGGTGAGCCTGTTCATAGCGTGAGGCATATGTGGTGGGTGATTTGTTACGGTAGTAGGAATCGAAGGAGGTAAGGGGGCACGTGGCGGTTCATTTGGTATTGGCCCCTCAACTTTTGACGGATTGTGAGGTGTGAGCTTTCGGTTATTCCTCTTACACTTATGGCACTGAACGTTCCGCTGAGCAACAAATTTCAACGCCTCGCTACTAAGGGAGCCGGTATATCCATTTGTTAGCACATTTTCTTGGCTCTTATCGATAGGCCACCATTTGGGGCTCACGTCGATGCCACAGGTTATGCAGACTTTATCGCCGCACTGAGAATTAATAGACGCTATATCAACCGTAGCATCAACCGGAGACGCCCTCTGGCCTGCCGTAGTTAAGCCGGAAATGTTGGTAGTAGATTGCCTCCGATTTGTATTTGTTTGGTTTGCGACAGTAGGTGTTTTGGTGGCGGCGAGATTAGCCAAGTTCGCCTTACGCACGTTGCCCGTTAAGGTAAGATCCGCTTGCTTGTAGTTATGCACGTAGAGTTGTAGGGCGTTCTCAAGTTGAGGATCCTTGCCTTGGCCCTCAGGCTGAGGTACAGGGTCGTGCATCCGGTGCACTACGCTCTTTTGAGGAATATGCTCCTTACACCAAACAGCTGCTGACATTATCCCCGTTTCTCCTCCAATAGTAACGAGATTGTGCTGATCTCGCCTGGAGCCCTTTACGGGGGTAATTTCGAAGCCAAGCAGGTACCCATTTTGGTGGGCACATTCCACGTGGACTAATATACTTGTCAGTACTTGGCGACTTGACGAATGGCAATTCGAGAGAAATTATACGTACCAGGAGCGCGGCACTGGTGGCAGCCCACACACGCGCCACCTTTCTGCTTGCACACCTTGCAAACATCGTCGAATCTACTACGTGGTATAGATGGTATACCTTCCGATGGACCCAAGGCAAGGGCATTGCCAAATTTGACTTCAGGCATCCACACCGCGCAGGTAACGTGAACCCAATTATTGTCCGCCGTCCTTTTGAGAGGCTCTCGAGGGTTTACGGGGCGGTTCAGCTCCTCTTGCTTTTTGCGATAATAATCTACAGCCTTCTGCGCGAGATCCCGGTCGTGGCGCTCCTTCTCCTTCTCCTTCTCTGATTTCTTCTTATGCGTATTCTTCGGCGGTTCAATAAAGTCATGCTCCGTGAATTCCACTGGGCACAGGACACATTTGTAATCCTAACCATAACCGTTAGCCACATACCCAAAGAACCAAATGAGGATACGCTTACTATGGACACTTGAGGGTTTTTATCGTTCAGGCACATGTCGCATGTCCATTTGCCCGGAAGTCGATTGTCAACAACACCATAACACTTGCGATGAACAGTAAGTCGGCACTCCTTGCAAGAGAGATGAGCTTGTTCGCCCGTTGGTGCCATCTGGTGGCATATAGCGCAAGGCAGTGTGCGAGGTTTTGGCAATTCTGGGGCTGGGGGGGGAGGTACGGGCTTCTCTACCACTTTCTCTTTCTTTTTCGGGTGAGTATGGGTCGGGGTAGCAGCGGAATCTGAGCCATTAACCTCTGCTTCTTTGTCCGCGATCGTCTTGAGCTTCTTGCGCGGTGGTGGCTGCTCATTACTACTAGGTGGCGGGACGGGCGTTGCTGTCGCAGAAGGTTGTGCCGTAGATGGTGTCCCGGTCGGCTTGTTGTAGACCGTCATGCTCATCATTTCATTTGCCGCCATGATTTCTTTGAGTAACTCCTCATCGACTCTGCGCTTCCACGAGCGACCACCAGCCGCAGCAACCTTCTTCGCGAGGTCCTCCATATCTTCCCATTGAATGGCATATCGCCGCCACAGCTCTGCACATCTCCTACATAGTGCACCGACGTACTGTACTCCTTTGTCCTTGTTCGAGTGTTTACCGCCTCCCTCCGTCACTAGGCCGGACGCGCTGTTAGGCGCCCGCCGCCATTGTCGAGAGTTCTTCGTAGAACAGAATTTGCATATAAAGCTTCTCTTTAGCTTCACGGCCTTGTCGGTATCAAATGCCGAATCATCTTGATCATCAGCAACATCATCTTGGAGTTTATTGGCCGTCGCTTCGGCCTTCTTCGCCTCCTTCTTGCCCTTCCTTCCGGAGAAATTACCCCAAATTTGCTTCCCTCTGTCGGTCTTCTTCCACGTGTAGTATAAACGGACGATCTGCGAATGCTTGACGGTTTTGACGTGCTTCGTAATGTGATAAAGTTCAGAACCAAATTTGGTTACGCCTTCTTCAAACTTTTTCATCTCGGCAGTTGTAAGCTCAGGCTCTTTAAAAATCGACTTGTCGACCTTGACTAACGCCTTCAATGATTTGGGTATATCGTAATCATTCTTGAAAAGAGTATTGATGGCTACATCCTTAAGGTTTGTAGATTCCTTCGGAAGGTTGAACAACGGGACAAGTTTCGCCTTTGCGGTCTCCATATAATCGTCCAGCTGGGATTCCGTGGTTGAAGTTTCAACCGCATCTAAAGGCTTCCATAGCAACTGCGCCGTATTCCTCGTGTCATCATTGTCGTAATCCTCTCCCCTTGCTACGTATCCTGGAGGCTCGTCCTGAATCCATCTTGGACGCTTTTCTCGACGGGCCTTCTCCGCCTCGAGAGCTGCGAGGGCTTCCTTGGATTGCTTGCTGTCTCTTTTACCGGGTTTCTTGATCTCGAGAGGCTTCACCAGCTTGACTGGTCGGCCATACCACGGAAGGACAGTTGCTTGATGCTTGGGTCCTAAGCGAGATCCGGCTCTGGGATATATTCGGTCATCGTAATCTAACGCATCTTCGGGCTTACAATGCTGGCCTAAGTACCGATAAGGCCATAGGCTCGCATGATATATCTGCTCAGCGGTTGCAGGTTGGTGAGAGTCATCGATACCATCAGCGGGACTTGTGCGATTAGTATCGATAACATCATCCTCGTCTTCCCAAGGCTCTTCTTCCTCGGCTTCTGGATGCGAATCGAGCAAGCTTGGCGTATGTCGAGCCTCGAGCTTTCTCTCTTGAGCACGACTACATGCAGCGCAAGCCCAAGCAAAGCCACGTGACGGTTTCTTTAGCAGAGGAGGGCGGACACAGTTCATATGATAAGTCTGCTGACATACTGCACAGTCGACAGAATCGTTGCTATTTTCATCAAGTTAGCGGAACTGTTGTTTTATTTACTGGCTTCATCGGGACCCGTTTGACCGGTTGGACCCGTTGAACTTGTTGCAGTTGCAGTTGCAGGTGAATGGCACAAGAAAAACAGGGGTAGATGGTAGACAAGGCCGAGAATGGAAGGAGAAAGGGGAAGTGTGGAGAGGATGACATAAGCAAGCATAACATACCTGGCACAATACCCACTACATCTCTTACACAGCTTGACGGCGCTAGTAAATTCCTTGGACCGACCCTGCTCCACCAAAATATACTTCCAGCGCTCGTCCAACACCTTTTTGACCCTCTCGGGCACGTTGACGATCTGAAAACACGGAATCACGTCGTAGTTCTTTTGGATATAACGGTCGTACAGCTTCTCATACCAAAAACAGTCGGGAGTTTTTCGGTAAGTATCCATGTCCTCTATTTCCGCCTTGTGGCGGATTTGACACTTGCCGCGCAATGCGGTTAAGGGACTAATGTCCGAGTGCATTGTGGCGAAGACCAGTCTCGTGTCATTGACCTTCTTACCGATGTCCTTGGGTCGGTAGTACCAATTGATCCGCAACGCATCCACGGCTTTGCTAACATCATTCTGCACATGCAGGAACTCCATGATACGTCCTAAATAATACGGTTCTCCAGGAGGTTCGCATACAAGATATACGTGGTCTAAATAATTCATTTTGTGTCAGTCAGTCAATCAACCAGCCAGCCAGTCAAGCTATTTCGTAAAGACGGAAGCGCAAATTGTTTTTTGAGTTTTCCGTGGGTTTGAATGAAGGTCATACCGTTCGCTTCCAACACTGTTCCGTCATCCGCCACCATCTTTCCGTCCTTTGGGATCCCACCACTTTTCTCGAAGTAAAGCATGTTTGTCGCCTTATACCCCGTCGTATTGTTTGTAACCGTGACCGTTGTCGCGTGCGTACCACCTCGTTTCGTCGTGTTAGAACTGGCCGGTGCTGGGGTGCTGCCATTGCTGTGCGCATGGTTCGCGACCGATTGCGCGGGTGCTTTTCGCTTTTTAGACGAAGTAGAAGACGTCGTGGTAGACGAACCATTCGTAGCCGCGTTGTTCGTCGAATGCGAATCTTTCGTAGTAGCGTGTGAACCATTACTGCTAGCCTTGCCATCCTCCGGGGCTGCACCTTTGCGTGATGTCGAATTCGCGCCTTTGGGTGCATCGCCGGTGCCATTTGTAGCTGCACCAACATGTCGCGAGGATTTTTTAGGTTCCTCGTCCTTCTTCTCTACAAAAGCATCGTACATGTCCACGTCCACATCTTTGTCCTCTGCGTAGTTTGGGCGCGCTTGGCCCCGATTGCGGGAACGCGTGCCATAAGGAGATGGGCCTGTCATGGCCTCCTTGCCTGACGGGTTGGACCCCGACGAGGTTGACTTAATCATTGGTTGGGATACTGCTGCATTATCCCCAGATGCTTTATTGTTGGTTGGCTTTTGGGGTTGTGCTGAGGTGGGTGCGTTGTTGTGCGCGGAGCCGGAGTCTGGTAGGTCCTTAGTTGAGGATGACGAAGGATTGGGCTGATCATCGGTATCGCTAGACTTCTGCGCCATGGTGGGTGATTAAAAGGCGGCGCATACAATGTCACACGGAGAAACGCCGAAAAGTTTACGGCCGCGCTAGTAGAGGCAGACAGGAAAAATCTAAGTCCATAAGATTGGTAACCCAGGTGCAAATCTCGCAGCCAGAATGTTTCAGACAGGAACTATGCTGGAGGGCGAAGATTCCATATGAGCGTTTCGCCGGTGGTACCACGGCAGGCTGGAAGACAAGGGTCCGTGGGAAGCTTACCGAGTTATGTCCCACGATAGTCCTGGCTCGAGGTTTGTCAGAAAGGGAAAGTCAAGAAAAAAAAGTTAAAAAAGGGATATGTGGTGAAGTTGAAGAGAGGAAGGGGGGTAAAAGTTTTGGGGGGAAGAATAGATAATGAAAGAAAAGGCCAAAACGCGAAATATCTGGTTGGGTAGGGGAAAATGGATGGTGAGGTTTGAGAAGAAAGAAGGTGGGAGACGTGACTGGTGTGGGACGGGAAAGATGTTAAGGGTAAGTAGAAGTGAAGGTTTATGTAAAGCAGGGCCAAGATAGACCGGGGAGGTTTGAGGCGGCGGGACAGACCATCAAATCGGTGTCCACTACCCACACGACTAGCTCGGATGAACCGCAGGCAATAGGATCATAGGATGGGTAAGGTAGACGAACTATGTCATGTACGGGTGGATGGGGGGGAATAGGAATGGATGAGTAGAGACCGGCGACTTACCAGATAGGTATGTAGGTAGCTTCTAGATCGCTTCTGGTACGCTTCAGGCTTCAGGTAGGTACATACATACATACATACATACATACATACGTATACACGTACATACGTAGGTAGATATTGCAAAGTAGGGTCGCCAAGAGCACACGTTGATCGACCTATAATATCGAGACTGTCGATACCGAATTGGGTTCTCGTGTAGGTAGGACGTAGGACGAGGGTCTACTAATGAGAAAAAGAGAAACAGAGGGAGCTAGCTTGGGAAACTGAGGAAACTTGTTGTCGATGACAAGGATGCCGGATGCTTCAACTAAGGTGAGGCAAATTGGGAATCGAAACTTTGGATCTTGGGGATTGCCGGGGTATGAAAGGCGAGGTAAGGAAAATAAAAAAAATAAAAAATAAAAAAAGAATACCTGAGGTAAAAAGGTAAGGTTACCTACCATATGAGCGTATGGGAGGAATGGGAAAAAAAGAGTGTGGAAGGGCGACCTTTTTTTTTTACGAATGTTGGACTTAGCCAGTTACATGTATCATAATATGTACGTACATACGTACATACGTGGTGCTGTGCTGTTATGTTAGGATACCCTAAAATAAAGGCTACCTAAGGTGAAGTAGGAGAAAGCTCATAAGGGCTAATATTGACTAGATAAGTAGATTGCAATGGTTAGGTAGATTGAATAGATGCGCGTGTGCAGTGTGTGTGTGCAGTTATGTGTATGCATCACAGGAAGGCAAAAAGGTCAAGAGATGCAAATGCATCAAAATGCAACATCTAGTCTAGCCTCTTGGCCTAGCCGCCTAGGTACCTATGGTATGTTAGGTTAGGTCCAATACGTTAAAGCCAGATGTATCTATGTACTCTTCAATAATAAGGGTATGGGGACCTGGGTATGGGACCTGGGTATGGGTATCATATGTGTAATAGAGGTAGTATGGACAGTGTACGGATGGTACAATCGCATACTAATAAGAAGGTCATTAAATGGGATGAGCTGATGTATGTATGCCCATTGCCGGGTATGTATGTAAGTGCGAGGTATGTAAGGTAAATGTATCTGGGTATTTGAAGCAGAAAAAGACGTAAAAGACGTAAGAACCTTGGAAAAAGGTAATAATAACTAGGAAAATACGTAGGAAATCTGCATGTAGGTTAAGTTACATCTAGGTTAGGTACCTAAGGTAGGTACCTAGGTAGATAGGTATGCTAAGTAAAATAGATAGGTATGGCTAACGGCAATTTTCATTGCTAGCGTACCTGGTATTGTATTGTACATGGTACAAATACTGTACTATGTGAGGTGTGCATTGAGGTCATTTACCGTCTACCTGTATATACATGTAAATGTAGTGTAAGGTTAGGTACATTTGTACGGATTAATACTAGTAGGTGGAGAGAGAGAGACAGAGAGAAAGAGCATTGGGAAATAATCGAGAAAGAAGACGAGAGTCGGGACGCACGAGAAGGGCACGGGGAATATTTGACGGGGGAGGAGTTGGGATCTTCAGCCATTCAAACTCTGATATTGTACCAGCTGGGCTTATTGGCAGATGGGTAATGCCGCGGTACTGGTACCTGGAAGGGGTGAGCTAAACATGGATAAGCATGGGTAAACATTAGACTTGTGTTGTACATACACTTCCCCGACAAAGGCCAGTGACAAGGCCTGTGTGTGTGGATGGTATGTATGTATGTGGAGTGGTACTGAGGTTAAAAAGTCTCGCCTTGGGAGCCCACGGCCCACATCCATTACCTTTTACCCCTGTCAAGTCCAACCAAACTTACGCTTCCTACTAAAGGCTGCATGGCTCTATTCGACTTCATCTCATCCATCATTCTCGCATCTGGATTTCAATCTTATGCCTGCCTTACTTTTCTTCCTCGACAAAGATATATGTTTGTAGGGCCTATCGATACCATAAAATGTTTCCCAAATATATTTATCTCTTTCTTGGTTAGATATGTCAATCATCTCAATGAACTCAATGAATCTTTAGGGTCTTTTTGTTGAAAACTGCTGCATCCCCGTTTCATTTTGCCTAGCTTGCTTGCTAATATTTCCTGATGCGTTTGTACTGGTTGAACGCCCTCGCTTGACAACAACCCTATTTAACTACCTACCTACCTAGACCTAAGGAAAATAAATTCTCTTTATTCTATTACAGCATTGTCGCGCTTCCCTGTTACCAAGTTACTCCCCATTCAGAGAGATGTTGCCGTGTGTGTCCCGAACCCGTCGAGCTCACCTCATCAGGGCGACGCGCAGTTGTATGACAGGCAACATTCCCATCACCTGTCGCACATTTTGATAGGGTGGGGATCTAGCCAAAATCGCGAGTCAAGGGCGCCGCGCCCGTTTCCCGAGGGTATTAAACGCAAGCATGGTCGTTGCGTTGTCTACCTACATAGTATACTTTTTACGCCAAGAGATCATAGGAACAACCGAGTAAGGCGCAGTTCATTCATTTACCTAAGGTTAGCTGTAGTATCTTATTTCATATACATATCCTTTGGTCACAACTGATGCTTCTACTTGCCCTAGAAGCAGATCGGCCTTTGGATTTGGGTTTGGAGGCGATGCGAATAACGAGGCAGGTAGTCTGGCAAGCCTGGGCACCACTACTAGCAGCAACCAGAACAAAAACGACAGGTATTGAGTAAACCCCCACCTCGCGATCTGATGGTCCAACCAGATCACATGGGACAAGGATTCCACCCGTCACCGCTGTGCAATAGTAGAGACATACCCAAGACAACCGAACTCACAAATCTGCAAAAAGTACGGCAGGGTGAATTGTCCCTGATTGAAATGTCCGTTTTGTCACGAGAGTAGAAAGTCTACTTCGGCGAGCAGACAGACGTGTTGCGTGTTTCGTGTCAATTCGTGGTCCGTATAAAATTTATACACTACCCCAAAACCTACCTACCTCTAACATAGCCGAAATAGATCTAAATGGTCCTAGCAGATGTGTATTAATCTCTACGTAATCTAGGATTCTAGGGATCAAGACTAATCATCTGATGCACGGCGAAATGTTTTGATCTCCCTGCCCCTTAAGAGCACAATAAGGAGAATTGGCCTCTCATCTTCATGCCGAGTAAACGCCTTTAGATCCTAGTACTATGTACTGTTCTTCAAACCAAAAAGAAGGAACTCCGCTTTTAGCAATGAGATGTAGCGGTATAAAAGTATTTGCTAGTCAGCAGTTTAGCTTAGACTGTAAAAATAGGCCCTCCTAAGGTTTAGTTGGATGTAGAGTAGGCCCAGAGGATAGTATGATTTTATCTACATAGTAGTGAGGTCGGTACTTTCTCTGTCTCCTAAATCTTGACCCGCAACCTACAGTAGTAGGGACATACATGTATAAGGGTACACTATTACCTACCATCATACGTCGCTTCTCCATTGCAGCATGGCTGCTTCGAAATCTATAACATTATTTATTGTACTCAATTATTCGGTATATGTGTGTTAGGGACTAATAAGGGAGAACTTCGCGGACAAGGAGCGACTAATAAAATGGAGGTAAAAAAACATTTAGTAGGATATTAGCCCAAATATGTTCCATACGTGGAACCCTACATTTTGCCACCTACGCAGATAAAACCGAAAGTGAACCCACTTGAGACCAACGTGCCGATAGTCATGTATCGGAGAGTCCTCTCTATAAGATGAGGACATTGTCGTAATCAAAAGCTCAAGGGGGAAATGGTCTAGGTAAAATGACCAATACAAGTTATAAATATCATCCCATAAGGAGGGCATAGGGTATAGGGCATAAATCAGAATTTCCCACCTTTCGTCCGTCGCATGGCCGTCTAGCCATCTAAGCAAGGAAAGTAAAACTAACCAAGTCTGACCTTACGACGGCCGAGAACGTCGGGAGAAGAATCCTTTTCGTGTGTGGAAAAACAAGTCCTAGGTTACCTGGTTACCTAGGTATATACCTACCTATACCTTAGGTACAATACCTACTTTTGGCTGCCACCAAGTCGTTACATTGGTATTCGTTTTCGTGACATTGGTATTGTACCCTATGAGGTACATATAATTAAGTTGGAAGCTTGACGTTAGAGATGACCCCGACCGCACCGCACGAGGTTTGCAAATAGGCACGGGCCACCTAGGAGGTCAATCCGAGATCCATCCGTTTTTTGTTAAAAAAATAAAAAAATAAATAAAATCATGATCCAATGATCCAATGAGAGACATGAGGATTAATGAATTCCCTTACGGGGATCCGCGGGAACCAGTAAACCGTGTATATACGGTTTGAAATTTTTAACCGCTATAATACAATTAAATTTGTTAAAATATTTCAAATACTAGACGTTGATGTTTCTCAACGTCTACAGGTCTTTTGATATTTAATCGTATCTAAACATTTAGAAAATATGAAAGCGTTTATCTTAGGTTAAGCGTTTACCTTTTAAGATAAGCGTTTGAGTATCGTTTATTTTTTGTAAGCGTTTGAATATCTTAGAGTCTCCTAAGGTCTTATTATGTAAGAGCTCTTCCAAGAGGAAGCTACGATACCTCTTTACCTACCTTGATATATTAAAATAAGGTAGCTTCTCGTACGCGCGTGTAACGTAATTCGTAATAGCCATTATGGTCAAGGTAGTAGATGCATGCTTAGAAGTAAACCACGTACATACAAGGTAATAGTTCGAATCTAAGGCTAAACAAATGGATCTTTTTTTTTTTTTCAATTTAACTTAGCTACTGCTACCTATTACTATTACCTTCTGCAGCCAAACCGCAACCTAATGGTTTATATTACCTAAACGTCACATGATTTAAGCGTTTGAAAAATTCTCAAATGTTTGAGAATGTAAACGTTTATATATGTATGCGTTTATTTTTTTTAAATGTCAAAACGCCTTTAAATATTTATATTTTTGAACGCTCGATCAGCTATTCAGGAATTTTTAAGTGTTTATTTTTTTCGTACTGTAATGCAACGGTCATAACACGGTTTACTGGGATCGTTAGATGCTGGTATGGTCCCTTTTAGGAACGACGGCGGCAATGATTACGCGATGCCATACCTGATTATGTCAATAAAAGCGGGCCCTCGGAGGCAAGGCGGCAATTCCCGATCCTGATTGCTCTCCAACTTCCACTTGGCATATGCAAGGGCATTGAAGAAAAAGAGCACCTTGACGCCACGTGACATGGTGTTGCTTTCGTGTCCAACACCGTTTTATTAATAACAGCCAAGATTTAGTTACCAGCTGATAACACATTTAACACATTTACTACGTAACATATTAACATATCGTAACAATATCGCGACATATAACCGACAACATGTATCTCCATTTTTTGAACACTTGTCGCCCATTTCTTCTACCTTGCATATGTACAGTGCAATGAATTGGGACCAGTTTTGTTTTGTTTTGTTGCTACGTGCTAGAAGTGAGCTAGAAGTGAGCGAAGAGGACTTACCTATCAGACTTATCCATCAGCAGCCTCAATAAATACCATAATCAGGCCCTGACAATCAATGGGCTAGACGAACAACGATGGAGCCCCCAAGAGGCATTTTGCATAAAACGACACTTGAGTCAACCACTTTGCAACAAGGGACATTTCATACCACTACCATTTCAAGCAGCAAGAGATTCCATGCCGATGTCGCCAGTTCTGACCAACAACCGCCTCCACCAAAAAGGGCAGTTCAATTCCAGAAAGCGTCGACTATCAACAAGGAACTGCCTGAGCTGGCTGCTAGTATCATCACAGACATTGATCCCAATCATGCTGCCCACCCTTCTGAATACTCGCAACGCCGGGCAATAGCAACTACACCCACATCAGTAGTCGACCGCTCTCTTTCGCTTTCTTTCCCGAGGTATGGATTACCGAGCTCGCTGGTAAATAATTTTAAAGCACTTGGTATCAATGAGATATATACCTGGCAAAAGCAGTGCCTTTTAGGCCCAGGTCTTCTGAATGGAACAAAGAACCTTGTCTATACCGCGCCGACAGGGGGCGGTAAGTCTCTAGTTGCTGACATTTTGATGCTAAAAAGAGTCCTCGAAAATAGCGATTCGAAAGCTTTGCTGGTGCTCCCGTATGTTGCCTTGGTTCAAGAGAAAGTCCGGTGGCTACGGAACGTTGTCCAAGGTATCAAGCGCCCACCCAAGGAAGAATCATCGGAAAAGGAGCAGCGTTCGCTTTGGCAAAAACGTTTCGACGAGGATACCATCAGAGTTGTTGGCTTTTTCGGTGGTGGAAAGGTCAGAGCGACATGGTCAGACTTCGATATCGGAGTCTGCACCTTCGAGAAGGTCCGTTGCCTACGGCATTCATGTGACATAGATCTGATAGGAATACAGGCAAATTCTCTTCTAAACACTGCCATTGACGATTGTTCCATCACTAAGCTTCGAGCTGTAGTTCTAGATGAGCTTCATATGTTAGACGATGACCATCGTGGCTATCTTATGGAGCTTATTGCTACCAAGCTTTTGAGCCTCGGGTATGAGGTCCAAATCATTGGCATGAGTGCAACACTGCAAAATATTGACTTATTATCGCGTTGGTTGAACGCTCACATATACAGCACGTTCTATCGGCCTATACCCATTGAGGAGTATCTCGTCTATGAAGGCAAAATTTACCCAGCTTCGTCAACTCGCGGCCTCCTTAAGGCTGCTAAAGCTGCTAGTCAAGTCGACTCGGACTCCAATGCAAGCCAACAGCAGAGCCAGCCTGTTAGGATCGTCCAACCTAGCTTACACAAGGAATTTAAGGAGACGGTATTGAATTCCGTAGTAGCACTAGCAGTCGAAACAGCGAGGTCCGGCTATGGTGCCCTCGTGTTTTGTAATAGTCGTCGGTAAGTGCCAATCCCTCCTGATACGCTGCTACCCTTTTCTCCTGATGGTTATTTGCTCCTTTATTGCTATCCCCAAGAGCCAGTATCCAAACAAATGCTAATATACTTGCAGTACGTTATTAATCTCACATTCTTACCTTGCTCATGTGAATTTTCCAAGTTAGCTGTAATCATACTAATGTATAAAAGACGGGTGCGAATCCGACGCACGGCTTATTAGCCGGACATTACGTGATACCAGCCAACTAGCTTCCGCGATTATTGAAGCGAGGTTGGATCTCTTAGCGGACCTACGCAGTCTCAGCACGGGGCTGGATCCTTGCCTAGCAGAAACAATTCCTTCTGGGGTTGCTTTTCACCACGCCGGCTTAACAACAAAGGAAAGGGAGTTGATAGCTAGTGCTTACGATAAAGGCGTGCTGAAGGTTTTGGTAGCAACCTGCAGTCTTGCCGCTGGTATTAACCTTCCAGCCCGAAGAGTCATCCTCCACAACGCGCGTATGGGCCGAGACTTGGTCGGGCCCTCTATGCTCCGTCAGATGCGCGGCCGTGCGGGAAGAAAAGGAAAAGACGAAATAGGGGAGACCTATCTGTGCTGTCGTAAGGACGACTTGGAGGACGTCATCGAGCTTATGCGAGCTGAGCTACCGCAAATTTCGAGTGGCTTAACAACCGACAGACAACGCATCCAACGCGCATTACTGGAGATCATAGCCATCAGGTTGGCCAATTCGAGAGACACCGTTGAAGATTATATCCAGAAAACCCTATTGAGCTTATCTTCGACGCCCGATGAGATAAGGGGACACGTCGATTCTAGCTTACGAGATTTAATCGAGAAAGGGTTCCTTCACTGTGGTGACTTCGAGACGTATACGGCAACACAGCTTGGCAAAGCGATTGTCACCTCTTCACTCGAACCGGAGGATGGGGTGTTCATCCATCGCGAGATGCAGCGTGCATTACGCGCTTTCGCAATGGATGGTGAAATGCGTAAGTAGAAGACTAACTTGAACAACACCATTCATTACATCTTTTACTGTTTCGAAAGTCGAAAGTCGTGTTGGAAAGGGAATTGCTTACAAGAGTTGCAGATGTTTTATATATGTTCACACCGGTGCACGATACTTCCACCACGATCGACTGGCGAGTCTTTAGGTCGGAAATGGAAGGTCTCGATGACAGCGGGCTTCGTGTTATGAGTTTTCTAGGCCTGAAACCGACACAAGTGATCAAAATGTAAGAAGCGCATCGTGTAACGAAATATATGTGCTGAAATATATGTGCTAACTTATCGTAGGGCCCAAGGCGGAACCCTCAAAGAGACAACTCCGGAAGAAAAGGAAGTTTCCCGTATATATCGCCGGTTCTACCTTGCTCTACAACTGAGAGACTTGTGCAACGAAATGCCAGTTCATGTGGTATCACGCAAGTACGACACGCCACGAGGTGCGGTACAGAACCTGGCGCAGACATGTCAGGGTTTTGCTGCTGGAAGTGAGTAACGCACCACAACATGAAAAAAAAAAAAAAAAAATACGTAAGACGTATACCAAAGCACAATTACTAATTTTAAGCCGTAAAGTGATCAAGTTTTGCGAGCAGATGGGCTGGGGGTACGTTTAGGACAATATCCTTTGTTTATAAGCCAATATTCGGATTCAGGGCTAATGTGCAAGCAGGGCGATGGCAGCTGTTCTAGACCACTTCTCGGACAGGCTGAACGCCGGGGCAAGGTCAGACCTCCTGGCGCTAGCGAAGATCACGTTCGTCAAGAGCCGGACGGCTCGGGTTTTCTACGACAACGGTTTCAAAACCGTCGCAGCAATCGCTAATGCGGATCCCAAGGAGCTTGTGCCGATCCTTATACAGGTATGAGATGAGTACCGACCTATGTAAATCATAGGAAGAAACAAAAGAAAACATAAAAAAAGGAAGAAGAACTAATACGACGTGTTGAAAAAAACAAAAACAGGCGCAACCGAGTAAAGTGAGGCTTAAATCCAAAGACGAGGAGAAATACGAAGAGAAGCTCCTCGCCAAGGCCAAAATCATCGCAGATTCGGCAAACAAGCTGTGGCGTACGCACATGACCCCTCATTCTCATTTCCTGGTGGGTGTATGAAGTATGCAAGGACAAAGCTAACAGCGACGGATGTAGGAATCGAGATGCAGCAGCAAATATATGAAGAAGAATAATAGATAGGTACCTTAGGTAGGTTAGGTTAAGGCGTGACATGGCTTGCGCTACTTGTATGTGTCCGTGTTTAAACACCTACCTACCTTAGGTACCTACTTGACCTATACAAATTCGATGAAATGGGGTTTTAAGAAGCACCGTAAGGCTATCCCATCCTAGGTCGTTGAGCGGGTTGTTACCTCCGAGACAACAATGCTGGCGTCTTACTGCGATGATGCGTGCGCCCTTTACAGTACCTAGACATGTCATCATCGGGTATACAGCTCCCGTTTCAGTTAGATGACAGTTAAAGTGCTGCTCTGACGGCTTTCGGCCAGTCATACGTATAGGTAGAACCGGTGGTGGTGCCTACTCTTTACTAATGCGGCCAGTTTGCTGCCGATTAACGCCGTCTTAAGCGATGCGTGCGATTGATTTCGGAAGGTACCTAAGGTATGGCAAAGCCTTGTCCTACCTGTTACGGTTGGTCTAGGTATAACAGCTGGGGCGCGGATAAGTCATCAATCAATACCAGGTATTGTGGTGGCCTTACAAAGAGAAAAAAGGGCTGGTGGAGAGAAAGTGTCATAGACGGCTAGGTATGTAAATCTACCTAAGCTACCTACCTAAGAGGTAGTTACGAGAAATTCAGCAGATTGTGTTAATGGCTGGACCGCCTTGTAGGATGATTTCTAGTATTTGGTGACTCAAGTCAGCATCTCGGTATCTGTCATCATCATCACGCCTTTTTTTGGAGAACCTTGGCGAAGGATGAGGACAATGATGCTTAGTAACGGTACAAAAAAGTTAGGACTTGATGGAGAGCTGTAGATCTTACAAGATCTACGACGAATATCAACATAGGAGGAGGCCTGTCTTGATTTCACGGCCGGCCCAGCCAGGATATACACTATGGACGAGATGATATATTTATTGGCTATTTCTCATTCAGTGTGATATAGTATCGGATTTTGCACAGCACCTTTTATGTTTCTCGTGTCGCTGTCAAATGAAGGGATTTCGTTAGGGTGTAGTAAGCGCATGAAAACATTTCCCGCAGTAAATCCGGAAAACTAGAAGCCCCCTTAAAGACACACAATTCCTCGTATCCGAACTGAACATGCATTGAAGTAGCCACTAGAGAGTAATTTTCATATTCATCGACCAAGCAATACCGCTCCTTTCTCTTTGGTCTTCTGTTGACCAGCATATTACCTTCTATGACTACTCTTTATGAGGCTTTTCAGTCGATGGTATCGTCACGCAGCTTGAGCAGCTGAGGGATAACATCATCCGGGCTCGAACGGACAGCGTTATGGTACAAGACGTTCGTCTCGAAGACCTTGATGCCCTTGATCCTGGACGCCGTGGCCCGCGACATGTCTGGATCGACGTACATGTCGTTGTAGATGGCCGCGTACACGGGGACCTCGTTCTTAGCTAGTTGTTCGGGGTCGTAGAGCGGCGCCCAGCCGTCGAATTCGGCCAGGATCTTCGCCGTCTCCTTGAGCTTGAAGAGCCCGGAGCAGGTATCGAGGAAGAAAGGGTAGGTCATCTCGCCGGAGAAATACAATGGTTTCTCGCCTAGGCTTGCGGGTCCAGCCCAGTTCTTCTGGAGCCATTGGAACTCGTCTAGACCGGCGCCGACTCGTTCCGCTGCCCATCGACCGGCCACACCCGGGCCGTAACACCAACACGGTTCGTGCAGTAAGGTATATATCGGAGCCGTGTCCCATACGTTCTCCTGCTCCAGCATGTTCAGAGTGAAGCGAGTGAAGACGCCATACTGGTCTAGATCGGCCTTCATTCGAATGATGTAATTATGGACTCGATCGACGCCGCCGTGAGCACCGAAACTAAGACCCAGGGTCATGAACCGGGCCACCGTTAAGAAACCGCCGGCGGGCAGCGGGATTCCTTTTTCGCCGCCGAGCTCGCGGATTTTCTCGGCGATCCATTTGACGGTGGCGATATCTTCCGGGAATTTCCTGTAGTAATCGTGGTTTCGTTGTATGCACCTTTGGAAAGTAGCTTGGTAAGACTCCTCGGGACCTTTATCCAGGGGGGCTAGTCCTCCGGTAATAAAGCATTCCCTAAGACCTTCCGGCGCGAAGGATAGATAGGTCAGGGTCATGAAGCCGCCGAAGGACTGGCCAAAGGTAGACCACTTCCGTTTTTCAGGCGGGTAATCCTTCGTTAGGCAGAGACGGACAGCTTCGCTGTCTTTAACGAGGGTGTCGGCCCTGAAGAGCTTGAGATAATCAGCTTGCTCCTGGGGACCGCCGACGCGCTCCAGGGTATTATCGGAGATGGGTGTGCTGAACCCGGTACCTCGCTGGTCTAGAAATAGTAGCTCGTAGCCTCTGTCAAGCATATATTTTGATAAGGGTGAATCTTGGGGTGGTGGAGTTCCCAGCCCAGGGCCGCCCTGGAGAAATAGGAGATAAGGTCTCTGTATGACCTCGGACGATTCGACGATGGGTCGCTCATATTTGACAGCGCTTCTCGCAAATAGCTTGATTGTTGTGGATTTTGGATCGGAGTGATCCAAGGGGACCTCGAACCAGAGCTCTTTCACGAGAAGCTTGCCTGGGACAAGATATGGCTCGCTTTCAGAAACAAGACGAGCCACGGCTGGAACCATTGTTAATTTGTCCTGTGTAATCTACCTAGATAGTCTTTAGAGAGTAGTTGTTACTACGATTGGTTTCGGATCTTGTTGTTGCGAAGTTAGGTGAAGCGGGGAAGCATCTAAATTTTAAGCTGGTAGGTTGGAGTTTTTATTATATTTTATTATGTCTTTTAACGTCGTCACAACGCTTGAGTACTGAATATTAGAAGCATGTACATCGTTCGCAGTCCTTCCTGACTTCGAGATATAAGATATATACTGGAAGATTAGGTAAATATACGAGACCCTTAAGAGGTACCTACTAAGATGGATGTATCTTTTAACTTATACATACCTACCTACCTAGGTAGGTACCTAAGGTATAGATCTATACATAGATCTAGGTAGCCAAGACCTCTAAAATCTATAGGTCTTTTTGACATGAATTGTCGTGTTACATTGATAAGCTTCCGAACGGCAACTCGGAAGTTATCGAGGTGAGAGACGGATTGGAATGCAATTTAATGCAATTAAGCAGCTTAATCACGGAAGCAGAGTTAGATAACCCCACACTAAAAAATCGCTAACCAAGGTTTGGCCATCGGCGTTACCAGTCGGACCTTTCTCCATTCCCATCCTTTCACTAGCATCTTTTTTTTTTCTTTTCCTTTTTCACCATCACCCCCCAACCGCATTCTCCGGCTTTCTTAATCCCATAATCTTTCTTCGCTTCTTTTTATTTTATACCAGGATATGAATTGCCAAAACCTTGTACAGACCTTAGTAGAGTCGTTTAATGCATTGGCCGATGAAGTCCAAAACCTGAGCGACAGGCAAACTGTCCTGGAACACAAGCTTCGATATGCTCACGAGCAGGTATGTGATTGACCATCTTCATTTCATATCCATGTCAACCTCAACTTCTCTTTTATCCGCCATTTATATATATATATGTGATGAGACATTTTAGCTCTAGATCAAGAGCTACCCTTGTTGTAGCGTTGACCGAAACAATTAAATAGAAGTTCCTGATATATTGCGGAAGAGAAAAAAAGAAAAGAAAAAAGTCATTTCTTGTTTTACAAATCATAAAAACCTATCTCGGAGAGTTTAGTTTAGTTTGCTAACTTTATTGACCCCGATATAGTTCCAGTACCTAGCCGATAAATATGCTCCCACGGCGCCTGAGATTTCAGAGACGCTATTAAACCTTCAAATCCCCCCGGAACTGCATAATCCATCCCTTGCAAACACCAGCTTTGTCCCCTTGCCTAGAAGGAAAACCTCGGATTCAAAGCATCAGATTGCCGTAATCATCAGGGAAGGTAGACGAGTTGCCTCTTCCTTGACAGCTACTAGCAAGAGCAGTCGATCTAGTAGAGACAGCCTTCCTCCCACCACAATGACGACCCTCTCCACCATCCTCGAGCAAGACTTCACTGTTCCGGGAAAGAAGAGCAATTTGGATTGTCCCTTCTCCCAGCGCTCCGGAGAGGAGAAGCAGAACGGTGAACCCAGCAATCCGCCTGGCAAACCGATGCATGATATAGAAGATCCCATCTGCGCCACCATGTCTGATCATCCAAGCTCGCAGCCTGCCGCCTCCAAGTGCCCAATCCGTTACATGGACCAGCACTCACCAGAAGAGATTGCTCATTACTTGGAGACTCACAAGCACGAGTTACCGAGGAGCCACGAAGTTTGTGTGCGCAGGTACCAGAAGAACGAGGAACACATCAGGAAGCTAGATGCCAAGTATGGCAATCTTGCTAGCATGGTTGAGGGTCTTAGTCGGATTCACCAGCCCATGTTACCTGAGCGGGACACGCGACCTCAGAGCGAAGTTGAAAGAACCTCGGATGATCGTGTTGTGAACTGGGCTCAAACAGTCAGCGCATCGGCTGCCGATGATCCGGAGCACACTCCTCTGCAACATCACGAGGACGATCTGGATGATCTAGACAGACAAAGTCGTTTCGATCGACCACTTAAAGAGGTCCGAGTTGGTGAATCTCCGAGCCGCCCCTGGGGGATCTCAGTACCCATCTTCGATAGTCCACCGGGCGCTGAAGGGTTGGGCCGACCTGAGTCCCCCCCACCGGCGCCGGTTCAGATTCCTTCATCACTGCCCCCTCAAGTGACGCCGGCAAAGACGGGGAAGTGCCCTTTCGACCATACGAAGTTGACGGATATGATGAACGGCTCTCCTCCGAAACGCGAAGATAAGAACTCCGTTAGGTTTGGAGATATCCGGTCGAGCAGCCAGACTTCTATCCCAGCCCGCGGACCGCCATTTACGGCCAGCGACCAACGTCAGCCTACATTTATCAACCTGGCTGAGCTGGACAGCCGCAAGCCGAACGATAAGCCGCAGATGCTGTTCACGGGTCCGGTCTTTATCGGATATCCCATCGAGGATGCAATTCGACTTATGCAGAGCCTTCAAGGGCAGCAGTAGATTTTTTTCTTTTTTGTAAGCGGCTGGAGCTTATTTTTAATGACAGGGGTCACTTTCGAAGCACTAGTTGGAGTTGATCGTTATTTGATTTTTCTTTTCTATTCACGGGGTTTTACGATTAAGCTGGCTTAAGCAACGACGACTTTATAACAACATAGCATGAAAGAATGGGGTATCGCTTCAGAATAGCCGGAAGGGGTATTATTGGCATGATAACGTAATGTATGAGGTGTTGGTTTCTTTTCTTCTCCTTTCCAACTTTTAGTTTTTATGATAGCATGCGTTAGGCGTTAGGAAACGTGGAAACCAGGTTCGGACGATACCCTTGAAGAGCAGAAAAATTGAGAAACTGGCTTGATTTTAACTTTAGGTACCTAGCTTAGGTAGTTAACTATAGCAGCAGCACAACGATGATAATTCTTTCTTAATTTTCTTCTTTTTTCCCATGATAAAAATCAAGAAAACAAAATGGCTTGCCTACCTCCTCCTGACTTTAAGTCCCTATCCCGTCTAACTAATTCTGGTTTGATATTTCCCATCCATGTTCCATGTTATGATGCTGTACCTAGACTCCAACTCCAAAAATGCCAAAGGAAAACTTATCAACCGAGCCATCATTTTCTTCTTGTGTGTGTTCGACTCGCCAGACGCCCGCCCGCCCGCAATGTAATATGTAATAAATAACCCGCATTTCCGCACACGAAAAAAACCCTCCCCTGTTTTGATAAACTTGAACTTGAACTTGCAAACAAACAGCCGACAATTCCTCCTCATCCCATCTGCTTGTTCGCTACCCACCTATCTATGCTCTCCGTTGCCAGAAACCCTGCCGTTCGTCTTGGCACTAGCATATCCTTCTCTTTCCTCCTCCTCCTCCGACTCGTCTCTATACCCGCCGCCCTCCATAGCATCCGTCTCCCACAGCGAGATGTCGTCGTCGTTCATGAGCGCCGCCTCGTCCGCCTCGCCGGGCCGCTGTCTCCTCCGGCCCTCCTCGAGATCCCCGTACCCCCGATCCAGATTTAGCTCGTCGCCCAGCTCCCCATCCCGGTCCCCGTCGACCGCTGTCCCGTTCTCGACCGCCTCCTCGCGCGCGAGCTCCCTAGCGCGGGCCATGGTGCGGCGGTAGATCAGCAGGCTCAGGGTGAGGCCGGCGACGCCGCCGAGCGCCATGCTGAGGTAGTTGACGGCCTTGTCGGCGGGGGTCATGCGGTCGCCGCTGCGGGCGAGCAGGGCGAGGCGGCTGCCGACGAAGACGTGGACGAGCAGCTTGGGGGAGGCGAGGGCGGTGGCGAGGGCGAAGCGCCAGGGGGAGATGCTGGGGACGGTGGCGAGGAAGCCGTTGCTGAGGCTGAAGGGCAGCGGGCAGAAGCGGATGGCGGCGAGCACGAGCAGCCCGTCCCGCCGGAGCACCTGGCCCAGGGCGACGAAGCGCTTGTCCGCGCCCACGAGCGAGTGCACATAGCCGCTGAACACGGTGCGGCTGGCGACGAAGGCGGCGGTGGAGCCGACGACCGTGGCGCCCGCGACGATGGGCCAGCCGCCGGGAAAGTCGTAGACGAAGCCGGCGATGGTGACACAAGTGCTGTAGCCGATCATGGGAGGGAAGGCGGTCGCGCAGGTCATGAGGAAGACGATGAGCCAGCCGCCGGGAAGGGCGCGCCAGCCCTCGGCGACGGGGGCCAGGGCGGCGAAGATACGGTGGGAGTAGACGAGGAAGAGGACGAGGAGGACGTTGAGGAGGAGCAAGACGGAGACGGCGACGACGCGCTGCGGGATGGTCATGCTGTAGAAGAGCTTGATCATGTTGTTGGAGAAGGACACGCTGGCGCGCATCACGCGGCGGCCGAAGGGCTCGGAGGAAGAGTCGGCGGCGGCGGCGGATCGGGAGTACGGTGTTGAGAGACGCTGAGAGTTAGTCCCAGACGTGGGACGTTGTAGATTGGGGCGTACCCATGGAGGAAGAGGAGCGTCGGAGGGCGGAGCCGGGGAGGGAGAAGGAGAAGGCGAATGTGACGGCGAGAGAGCTAGGGATAGCATAGCTTCTCGAGCTTCGAGGTCGGGAGGCATTTTCGGTGATGTTTAGGTGTGCTATTTATGGATTGTATGGTATCTACAATTATCAGGCCGGAGGAGCTATCGAAAATTGAAGAACGAGGTATGTGTATAATTGGAAAGACCAGATCGATGTGGCTGTGGTTGTGGTTGTCTTCTTCGTACGGGTTTAGATTATCAGCAATGAAGTCGAGATAGCTTCAAGTAGTACCAGCTAGCTATCCATATTTCGTGACGTAGAGGTGGATTAGGTACGTTGTACAATTGGCAATTGTCAAGTTGAAGGGGTTGAAAAGAAACAAAAAAACAAAATGTATGTATGCTGTTAGGCAACAATAATTCTGAAGGACGTCAGGGATAGGTTGAGGTTGAGGTTGCTAAGTCGTACCCGTACTTCAGCTTATCCCCCTAAACCTGGCGCTATTTCCACAGTATAACGTTTCTTGGTGAGATTACGGTAGTAGCAATGGGCTGACGGGCTAAGAAAAGGAACCTTCGTAATCTGTATAACTTGGGTACCTACCTTCTAATCTACCTTAATATATTGTACAATACTTTGTGCTTTGTACTTTGCGCTACACCTGAGCTACCGCGTGACGCGAAGTACACTTTACATAGCTACCTCCTAGGATACCTACCTCCTAGGGTACCTAGGAGGTAGCAGGGCTGAATAGGTGGGTTGTACTGCTTATGTACAATACCAAGGCTCAGCCACGATCCAATGCGCGGTGTATACCTAAGGAGGTAGGTACTATGTACCTCTTAGCAAAAGAAAGGTACCTTAGGTACCCTGCTTTTACCTATCAATTACATCATGTCCCCGATTAACTTTGGATGTCGATCCGGGCACTTGAACCGTAGCCCACGCCGTTCCGCGCACCATGATATTACCTAATGTACGTACACCCCTGTTAATACCTAGCGATACCTATTACCATACCAGGTATCGGCTATTGCAAGTAATACCTAAGTTAGATAGTCACCGGGCCCCTAAATAAGTCCAAGACGCTATTATAAAAAACATTTCAACTTGCTTTATTCACGATATCATCTGCTACTAGTCACCGTGCCCTGTTGCTAGGTCCCTTAGGAGGGTCACGGACGAGGAGCCTAACTTTTCCGTCCCCAATTTCAACTCCTTGGCTTAGGATATCCACGTCCTCCTTCGATTCCTCCTTGTCCTTTGAACCCTCTCTTGCAAGAGACTTGTCCCAGCTCCTGGCGTCGATCCCGAGAATGCCTCCCATGTTGTTCCGGTCCCCAGGAACCGAAAACTCACGGTATGCGTATCTCCACTCGTTAAGGAAGTTCCTGATTGCCTTGCCAACTTTATCTTTTCCGTTCTTACTATGGTGGCCGGTCCCGGTAATGGCGTATACGGGTCGCGTTTCCTTACTGTTGTCCAGGAGTACTTTCTCCAGATACTCAACAGCTTCGTCTGGGTGAAGGCCGTGCAGATCTACAAAGATCTCCGCGTTGGGCGAATTTTGCTTGTTACGCTCCTCATACAACTCCCGAGCAGCTTCCCGGTGAGCTTTTCGCATCAGGTCATTCTCGCTCTGTCCTCGGAGACTAAGAGCCTTCGCCGCTCGAGCATCGTTGCGGTTCCAAGCTTGCGCAGCGCTGGAACCAAAGTTAGCTTTGTATACGTCCAATAATATCGAGAACGCACAAACCTTTGTAAGAACTTGTTACGGAGCCCACCATGTTTGATAGCCTCCTGGCGAGCCTTCAGATAAGCCTTATTTGCCTTTTCTCCTGTTTCCAGCCACGGAATGTGTCTGGGCATGGGGATATTTTGGGCGGCAGCACTGTTTTCTCCATTCTTAATACTACTAGCACTTCCATTGCGGCCGATCTTCTTCGATTCTTGCCGACTGGACCCAGATCCGGGCCCAGGAGACGGTGACATTTTTACGATATCCGCAAGAGAACTTGGTGTGAAGTTATCTTTGTGGCCATGGCCATGGCCACCACGTTTACCATGGTGTTTCTTGTTAGGCTTGGCAGACGCAGATCCAAGAGAGGGGAATGCATCATTATCATCTATTGGGGGCGCACTCATACCCTCTTTGGCCTGATGCCGGCTTCCCGGCCGCGAGCGAGGGCGGGAATTGTCATTGCCTCCGTAGGGCTTCAGTCCAGGTGGTGGGGTTACGCCGGAGGCTGGGTAACTAAAACTAGCAGCATAAGGATTCAGCTCCGGAGTGCCTGGTCGTAGGGACGGGAAAGAGCTGAAATCCTGAACCTGTAGGTTCTGACTTTTCTGTGGGGTGTTATTATCGTCCACGTTGAGGCGGTTTATAAGGTGAGCTGGATCATGGGAGAAAATGCACGTATCCCCGGCCAAGCAGTTGCCCGTAACCCAGTACCTAAAGAATTAATACACGTAAAGGAGGCGCGAGAACGGTGATCTGGACTTACTTGCAGAGATGGTTGCTAAGATCATGACTGAATCGACAGTCTGCTCGGAGACACTGGCCAGTAGAGAGGTAGAACTTGCATATTATGCCAGCTTTCCCCTGAGTTGATGGTGTCGTAGGTCTTCCATCTGGTGTCATAGATTTGCCAATAAGTACGCTCTTCGATTCGGGAGTAAGTCCTGAAACATTCGTCGAGTCTTGAGCTTGAGACTCCATTATGGACGCAATGGTAGCACTGAGGTCGTATCCGTGCATAGAAAGCGCCAACTCGATCTCTTCATCAGTCTTGGATTGTCCTAGGATCGAGCGCAGCATATCATACGGTGTCATATCCCACTGCTGAGCAGACACGTACTCGGGAGCTGCAGCGTTGAGGCCGCTGGACGTGCCCACAGAGGAAGCAATACTGAGTGCATCGTCATTCACTAACCAATCAACATTTTCAGCCTGCAAGTCACCGAATATTTCTTGAGAAGGGCTCGTGTCATTGGCAAATTCGTAGGCATTTAGATTCGGACTATGGGGTATTACCGGGGCGGAGAATGCGAGTCGCGGTGATGGACGCGGGGATGAGAAGGGCGATACGGTCGAGGACTTAGTCCGGCTGAGGCTTGTCGGAATAAAGCCCGGCGGGGCCAGGGGGCTTACCCCTAATCGAGGTGAGCCCGACAAAGGAGTTGACGAGCCCCGCCACGAGGCTGGAGAAGGCCGACGAAGGATAGTCTGTCGTATCGGGGGAGGTGAAGTCGCACTGCCTCCCCCTTCGCGGTATCGCCATAGCACATCCAGTACCGCATTCTCCAAAGCCGAACCACTCAGGGGTGTCTCATTCTTTAGGAGCTCCTCGATTTTGTCCGTCTTGTCGTCGTCGTCAAGATTCGGATCCTGCAGAACAGGAAGGCATATCTCGAACGTCTCGTCGGAAACCATGGTTACGCGATGTAGGAAGGACCTCACGGGTTGACGTGTTTAGGTGTCGAAGTTGATCAACAAAGATTGAAGTAAGGGGGTGAGTCAACAACGGCCCGGGATGAAGACAGGTTATATCCAGTAGCGTCGGTTTTTTCAGGGGATATGGTTCGGCCGGCGAATATTAAAGCGTAAGCAAGCCGGGGCTGGCGTATTAGAAAGTAAGAAATAGCTATAGATTCCCCTAATAGCGTGTATATCAGGTTGGTTATCAGGTACCTAACCTAAGGTAAGGTAAGGTAAGGTAAAGTAAGAGGGGAGGGAGATAGGGCGCAAGCAACGCGAAAAAGGCGGAGTGTTAACTAAAAGATGGGTGCCACAGAGAATAAGCGACTATTCGCATTTCTACAGATGCCGTGAGACGAGACTCGTGTTGAAGAAACAAAAATAAAAGCTGCGTAAGTGATGTATGTGGATGTATGTGATGTAAACGTGTGTATAAAAAAACAATAAAAAAAACAAGAAACCCTGGTGTAAAGCAAGGTGGAACGAGTGTGTACAAATGTTCGATCAGAAGCAGAAAGCCTTCTTGGGATGCAGCTCCCAAGACTTGGCTTAGTTGCCTCGAAGTTGCACCTACGTGTCGCGGAAACAGGGAGGCTTCACAGGAGAGACGTGGGAATCCAGTAAAAGATACGGTAGGTGGTGCTCTGGGACTTGGTCTGGACGGGTTGATGCAATCATGTGGGGGGGGCTCAGCTAGGTAATATTAACGACTTGCCAACCAATTGCCCTTATTTTAGGTATGAGCGTGTAAGGTCCACCTGGGCAGTCTGTACCCAACCAGCCAACGTACATTCGTACATAAGGTACATAAGGTACAATACAATCAAATGTACAATTATGTAGTACGTAAGCTACCATCTAAGGCGGTATATATACCTAGCTGTAGGTTATTACAAGCCCGTCCCGCAAGGTATATATACCGTACTGTAAGGTACTATTAATAACTCAAAGTTTCAATCTAGTCGGGGCCGGGGCTTTGTCTTGAGACACTCTTGTACCATTTTTTATTTTTTTACCTCCTGGGCGTACCTAAACGTAGTACGCATGCAGGGTTAGAAAACTTAGCTAAGTCACTACCTACTAGGTACCTAAGACATTTACGAGCAAATGCACCTCTTACACCGAAATACCTCTACCATCTACTACTACCTAGGTAGGTATGTAATGCAAAAATGCCAACTCACTTCTAATTCATAAGATTTTATTTTAATCCCAACACTTTTATAGATGACAGGACACCGCCTAGTGGAACTCGGTGAAATAAAGCAGTAAGTAACCCAGGTAAGGTACCTAAGATAAAAATGTCCGGCCGCCTTGTTCGATTTAGAACTACTATTTCCATTCCGGAAGCAGGGTGTACACACCAGTGAAAGGTTCGCAGCTGGAGGGCGCAAGCCACCAACATTCTTTTTTCAGTGCCCCTCAGCCGCTTTTTACTGTGAGAGACGAAGAAGCTGACCGGAGACAAATGCGGTCTTATCTTCCATAGGTCAGAGACGCCTACATAAATAGGTACCTCCCATAGGTACCTCCTATAGGTGTACATACCTATGTAGCTCTTGTCACTCTTGTCATACCCCCACGTCTACCTAGGTAATGGGGAGTTTCAAAGGGGGGGGATGGGGGGTTTTCTAGGTACCATACTTAATATTTCCATCCTTTATTCTATGGAACCTCCTCGTCGGATTCATCTCCAAACCCAAAACTAAAGCCACCACCACCACCACTACCACCAACATTCTCATCGTCATTCTTCTTTCCGATGGCCTCCTCCCATTTCCTTTTCTTCGTCAAGTTCCTCCGTTCTAACTCTTCAAGTGCATCGTTAAGAAATTTGGGATAATCAGTTTTAAGCCGCTCAACGAAGAGGTCATATGGGCTTTCAATGTTGCTTTTGAAGCCGGTCACTTGATCTGGCTTGTCTCTAAGGAAAGCGAGAACATCCGAGAGGTGTGATTTGGGTACGAAGTTTTGAGTAAGAGCAATACCAGCTTCGAGGTTCACAACCAAATGCCACCAACCGCTGGGCACGTGTAAGATTTCGCCCGCTTTGCAAACGCCTTCCACGCAGCCTGGCACCTTACGTGCTTCGGCATGGAACTCAAGTAGCCACTCGGCGATACTGAGCGGACTAGTAACTTCACTGCTGTCTTCTGAAACATAAACGCCGGGAACCTGCGCCGTGGGTGGAAACACTGAAAACTAGCTGTCAGTTTCTGTTGCTCTCGAAAGGTTCAATGAGGTATTTACAAAGCAGCGGGATCTCGCTGACACAAAGAGACAAATCATGTCCCAACATAAAGAAAAAGATTCGCAATATCTTCGGGTATACGTACTAATCCAGTATTTCGATCCTTCCAAAACGGCGTTCCAGGCGCTGGTGGCATTCGGATCCTTGTGAAAAGTTGAACCACTACGCTTAGGTCCGATAATGAGCCATCGATGAGCTGGTCTTTCCTCTCCAAGGAGCTCGAATAGATCCGGGCCAAAACACTCGGGGGGCCAGTATGCCGCATCCGCACCACATCCGATGTGAATATTCATCTTCTCAGCGAAACCCTTGTCGAACAGGTACAGCGGGCTTTCATCCTCGTTATTAGACATGTATGCATGGTAAACTGAGAATGGCCAGTCCACAGCTTCGGCACGGAACTCAACTGCTGAATATCTCTTATTTAATTCCTCGACAGTCCAGTCGCTATATACCGGCCAACGTTGAATGCAATCGGTCAATATAAATGGCTTACTGCTCCAATTCTGTGCGAACTTATCATAGCCGAGTTCCTGTAACCTGCCGATCTGATTTGCTCGAGGAATACTCGATGCATATTTCTCAACGGCAACGTAAGTACAAGCAAAAGGTCTATGAATGACGTCGGAGAAGACATTGCTACAGTCAATCCTAGGTCGCCAGCCGGCAGGAGCGTTTAGGAGTGTGCCTCTCCATGAACCTTTCCAGGTATGTGGTCGCAAGCCAGCACTTTCATAATTCATCAGCAAATCAACAAAATGGTACTAGAATAGATGGATTCCCTATCCAAGGGGGGGTCGCTCATGACTGTCTGGGTTCACATGTGATAGTTTATGACTTACTCGAGAAATAATGCCTTCCAAAGCTCGTCGAGATGGCAAAAGGCGTAGAGGAAGCGACAAGTAGACCCGACGTCTTTCAGTGTCTGGATATCAAAATATTCGAGTATCTGCAATATCATCTCATCTGGAAGTTGAGTTAACAACCCGAGAGACTGCCGAGCAGTGGGACCAGATGCGAAATATAGGTTCCCAAGGGGTTTAACACCTAATGGATGAACTGGGATGGAATCTGATGATATCCCAGTAATCTCAGTAGTTGTCATGTGGAATTCGCCTCCATCTGATGCTGCTGCACTTCCACTAATGCCTCCTCGACTGATTCCTTCTGCTAGTAGCATTTTGTTCGCTGGTAAGGAAATGTGAATTACCCGTTTAAGCCAAGTTGAAAACTTCCAATGGTGACAAGAACGCTTTATCACAAGGATAAATAATAGTAATTCAGCTGTAATGAGTCACAACCTTAAAGTCTGTGTCATACTGCAGTGGTTTTTTTATACATTTTTAATTTTTTTGTCTTTTTTTGACATGCAAAGTCGTCCTTACAGTCAGGCAGTCTAGGCAGTCTTGAGTTTTGTGGGTCCTCAGGTAGTGGCATTAGCTTAACAGCGTAAGGTTAAAAAAAATTAAAAATTAAAAATAATAATAATAATAATTTTGGGTAAGTCTTGGGAAACCACGCCGCTTGCCGCCGCGTAGAACCTTCCAAGATAACAAGTTTAGAGCTAAAGCCCCGCATCAGGGTTTGGCCGACGTTTACCCCCACTCAAATTTTTTTTTTTACTTACCTCTACTTTCCATTGATCTCGGGCTTTTCCTCCCATCTTCGACTTTTCCAAATCGTCAACAAGATTACATCAAGAACACAACCAAACCAAAAAAAGAGAAATACCCCCTAGTTGGACATTCTTGCTCTCTACTTACGAGAGCATTTACGTCCACTTCTTTTACTTATTTAATTTTTACGCAGTACGACTTGCCCTAGTGCAAAGTTCGTGCCTCTCTTTCTCTCTTGACCCCACCAAGATCGCCGTTCCATTTCTTCTTGAATTCTGAGCTGTGCTTAGAATTCGAGAAGTCGCGTCGATAAATTTACAATCATGGCTACCGACAAGGGGCTCGAGGATATCGACCAATCCCAGATCGAGTCTAACTATGACGAAACCGTCGACTCCTTCGATGAGATGAACCTCAAGCCCGAGTTGCTACGAGGTAAGAGACGCCGCCCACTCGGGAACCACAAAAAGTTTTTGCGGTGAACTAACAATGTCTCAAAGGTGTCTACGCTTATGGATTCGAGCGCCCTTCTGCTATTCAGCAGCGCGCGATCATGCCGGTCATCAAGGGTATGCTTCAATCTCTCTATTTCCCTTGTAATATTATATGCGCAAAATATCAAAATATTAACCTAACCCCGCGACAGGTCACGATGTTATCGCGCAGGCCCAGTCTGGTACTGGCAAGACCGCTACCTTTTCGATTTCCGTACTCCAGAAGATCGACCCGAACGTCAAGCAGTGCCAGGCGCTCATTCTGGCTCCTACTCGTGAGCTGGCTCAACAGATCCAGAAGGTCGTTGTCGCTATTGGCGACTTCATGAACATTGAGTGCCATGCTTGCATTGGTGGAACTAGCGTCCGTGAGGACATGAAGGCCCTCCAGGACGGTCCCCAGGTCGTTGTCGGCACTCCCGGCCGTGTCCAGGATATGATCCAGCGACGATTCCTTAAGACCGACGGCATGAAGATGTTCGTTCTTGACGAGGCCGATGAGATGCTTTCTGTGAGTACAAGCATATTCCCCTCTTTGCCCGCTCGACGAGGCTAATATTTATCATGCAGCGTGGTTTCACTGAGCAAATCTACGACATCTTCCAACTCCTTCCCCAGTCCACTCAGGTCGTTCTTTTGTCCGCTACCATGCCCCAGGATGTCCTTGAGGTTACTACCAAGTTCATGCGAGACCCCGTCCGCATTCTCGTCAAGAAGGACGAACTTACCCTTGAAGGTATCAAGCAATTCTACATTGCTGTCGAGAAGGAGGAGTGGAAGCTGGACACTCTCTCCGATCTCTACGAGACTGTTACCATCACGCAAGCCGTCATCTTCTGCAACACCCGCAGAAAGGTTGATTGGCTTACCGACAAGCTCACTGCGCGTGACTTCACTGTGTCGGCCATGCACGGTGAGATGGACCAGCCGCAGCGTGACCTGATTATGAAGGAGTTCCGATCTGGTTCTTCCCGTGTTCTGATCGCCACGGACCTTTTGGCCCGTGGTATCGATGTCCAGCAGGTTTCTCTCGTCATCAACTACGATCTGCCCGCTAACCGCGAGAACTACATTCACCGTATCGGTCGTGGTGGCCGATTTGGCCGAAAGGGTGTTGCCATCAACTTCGTTACTGCCGAGGACGTCCGAATGATGCGTGAGATCGAGCAGTTCTACAGCACCCAGATTGAGGAGATGCCGATGAACGTGGCGGACCTCATCTAAGCAACCCTTATTCTTATTGATACTCGACAAGGCTGGTCTGTCTGACATTTAGGGTGGGGATAGAATGATGCGTGGTTCGAGAGTGGACCAAAGAGGTCCCGCAAAATACATTGATGGGTGGGGTGGCGATGATGATGATCTCGTCCTGCATATTTCATTTTTCTATTAGCACGTCTCAAGGACGAGCCGTGGTCGGTACAGGAGGGAAAAGAAGCATCTAGGCATTTGCGGCTAGGCATCTAGCACCTAATAACTGGTAATGCATATTGCCTGAGGATGGAGAGGGGGCCGTCGCGGACCGGGTTCTAGTGCTTATTTCCGCGTTGTTATGTACGTAGGTCGCTGATGCTTTCCTAAATAAACGTTCTGAATTTGCCAATTATCGTGGTTTTAAAGGGAGTAATAAGAATGAATGAATGCCTTGGATTATACAAGACTTATCGAGTCGTTGAGTATAGGTAGGTACCTACCTAACCTCAGGTACCTAGGATAGGGGTTTCCAATGATCCCCTCCCCTCCTATGGATTACATACATCAGATATCAGATACATGTCCTACCTCAACATTACCTAATCTACCGCTTATCCTGCCACTCGTTTGGATAACAAGGCAAGTACTTCCAATGTCTGCTGGAAAGCGCAGTTGTTGTTATACTCAAATGTGGGGAGCAAAGGGGTGGTTCAAAAAGGGGAGCTGCTCGGAAAGTACAACTGCCAGTCAAGCCTCCTTCTCGGTCCAGCCATACCATAATTCCCTATTCCTGTTCAACCTCTCATTTCTTCTCGTCACTTCAAAGCTACGTGGTTTACTTGAACTCTTATCACTGAATCGGTGCTGATAATAAATTAATTAGCTACAGAGGCCAACACAATACAGTTTAATAAAGTAAATATATATTCCACTTCATATCATTAGGTACCTCTTATTATAAGACCATGCGTACCGCAGAAGAAACGCAGAAGCTTGTCAACGCTGCCAAACTTGAGGACAAGCTTCGACAGCCGGGGAACCAACTCAACGCCGTGAGACTCCTACAGGCGCTTACCGTCAAGGAGGTCTTCGAGGCGAAGAGGCAGTTGGACTTGATCGAGGAAAGGTTCTGCAAACTCCAAGAAGCCAACGCGGCGGAGGGTGTCCGCAGCGAAGGCCTCGAAAAGCAAATCGTCGAGATTCGGAGGGATAAGGAAATGCTTCGCTCGTTTCTATCCGAAGCAGAAGCCGCGACACGGAATATCAAGGACGGTCTAGAGAGCCTCCGATCGAAAGTCAGCGACGAGTGCTTCAAGTTTACGGCGGATAATGTCAGGTTCGGCAAGGATATCAAGACCCTGAGCAAGCAGATAGATCGCGACCATGAGAAGCTAGGCCGCGTCGAGGAAGACCTCGAAAACGTTCGTGCGAGCTTGCCCAAGACCCAGGATCTTGCCGCGCTCAACGACACCCTCGCTCGTCTCGAGCCCATGGTGAAATCCATGTACGACAAGCTAGATAGAGTCGCCACGCTCACGTTTCGCGAGAAGCAAGCTTTGACAGACGCTATTAGCGAGCAAGCTCATGTCCGCAATTTCCTCGACGCGTTCATCCCGAAACAGGACGACTTTTTCCAATTCCTTAACAAGCTTCACGAAGCGAACTCTCAAGCGGCAGTATCGTCTGGTAAGAGTATACCTATCTCCTATATATAAACTTTAGCAGTACCTACCTCCCTTGCCTTAGGAGGAACTCAAATCAACTTACTTACTTACTTACCTTACCTCCTTACTTACCTTACCTCCTTACTTACCTTACCTCCTTACTTACCTTACCTCCTTACTTACCTTACCTCCTTACTTACCTTACCTCCTTACTTACCA